GCGCACGTTATAAAAATAAGGGCCGTAACAGGCTTTTATTTGTTCCCACTTTTGGTTTCTGATCATGTTGATCAGAGGCTGGAGGTTTCTGTCGCGTTTTGTGGCGGCCGCAATGAAATCCACGTCCAGTGCCTTTCTGAGATTCTTTCGGAAGAGGGGCACATCTTCGTCCTCCATTGAGATTGCTTGACACTCCGTTTGTTCCTCTGGGTCCGTTTGGCATAGCTGATCTGATTTCCTGACGAATGTGAAGCTATCTTGTGAGGGAATTACTTGATGACGAACATCGCTAAAGGACAGTGTGGATTGGCCTGGTTCTACGGGCATTTCAGCGAATGACGTATGTTTAGCAGGTGGAAACGATAAAGTAGTCTGTTGGCCGCTGTGGCATTTCCTCATGATTCTTTTGAAAGGGGGTAATGACATTCCTGTCTGCAATTGGCGGCTCATGTTGTTAGCGGCTGGGTTAATATATGTTGAATTAAAATACACTTGTTGTTGTTGATGACTACTTGCTATTTCTTCTTTACGTAATTGATTTGTTGAAGGCTGGTGGCAAATGTTTGAATTATCCGGACTATAGTTTGAAATGTTTCGATTTGATTGAGAGAAATTTGAAAATTTTGATCGTGACGGAGAGTGACTGTTTGAGAGAGAATGATCATTAACAGTGAAATGTGTTTCTTTTGTGTGCGAAAGCGAACGATTAAAGTTTTCGTTCCGGTCGAGCTGTAATGTGCTTAGAAATCCGTATGGATTTTCAATCATTTCGATATTAGCTATAGTGCTGTCTTGAAATTCCAGGCAAGAAATGAAATCGTCTATGAGTGCGACAACAAAATGTTCATCCCAATATGCGGGAGGTTGTGGTTTTCCTACCGGATGGCGCGAAATATAGTCTATTAAGCCCATTTTACTGCCGGAAAGGTGTTTGATGTCAAAATCGAATGGAATAAGACGGTCAATCCATCTGGTTAGGCGACTTTGATAAGTTTTATTACTTTTATTGCTATTTAGGGCACTAACCAAAGCTTGATGATCAGTAATTAGTGTAAAGCGGCGGCCATACAGATAATATTTAAAATGATCAATAGCCCATACCGCAGCTAGGAGTTCCAATTCATTTACTGAATATTTATTTTCACATGCATTTAGGAATCTGGACGCGTACGCCACCGTACCCCATCCGTCTGGAGTTTCCTGTTCGAGAGCAGCTCCTATACCCTCGCGGCTGGCGTCACAGACTATCCGTGTTTCTCGGTTGCTCACAAAGTGACGATTTTCTGTGATGTTTCGCACCGCTGTCAGGATTGTCTGAAATGCCTTTTCATGTTCTTGGTTCCAAACATAGTGAAATTTAGAAGAAGATGATAAGAGCGGCCTTAATGGTGTGCACATTTGTGCCAGGTTGGGTATGAATTTATTTAGATGATGAATCGAACCCATAAAACTTTTTAGTTGTTTGAAGGTTTTAGGGTGTTGTAGATTAGTGATCGCTTCGGTTTTCTTGTGCATTGGTATTGTCCCGTATTCATTTATTATGAATCCCAGCCATTCGACCTCTTTACAGCCGAATTTGCATTTGTTTAAAGAAATCGCCATATTTTCCTGATCCAGTTTATCTAATACTTTTTTCAGTTTTTCCATGTGTTGTTCTTTTGTTCCGTGAGATATAATTAATATATCATCTAGAAACGCGAAAGTATCTTTTTCGTTGTTTAACGTTAGGTCAATGGCTTTCTGGAATTCTGCGGGCATGTCCGTGAGCCCGTAAAATCCTGTTTGGAACTGATAGGTTCCCGTCGCTTGTCCACCGATTATACTAAAGTTACACTGCGTTTTAGTTTTTTCATCTAATTTCAATTGGCTATATGCATATCGGAGATCGATGGTAGAAAAATATGTTGTGCCTGGTTTGCCATTTCCCTCCTGAACTGATTGTGCCACATTGTCGAGCAGAACGTCGATGTTAGGCATCTGATACTTATTTTTATGTATCGCTTTGTTGATTTGTTTTGAGTCCATGGCTAACTTGATTGACTGATCTTTCTTTACCGTGATAACGATTGGACTAATAAATTGTTTGTCGCTACAACTGTCGAGCTTCACGATATGGCCTTGGTCAATTAAAGATTTAAGTTCTTGTTCAACTTTTTCCTGAATATGAATCGGGATTCGGCGGCCCTTTTGTTGAAGTGCCTTGAAGTCATGTAAAAATTTCGTATGAACTTCATGGTTTTTAGATCGGCCGATACGAGTGCACAACCCTGGGTATGTTGTTTTAACCCAGTTTGTGATGGCCGTGTCTGATTGTTCTGGATCTGTAATGTAATTGATTGACTTACCAGTTGGTTTTTCCTGTTGAAGGTGAATGCCTAGTTGCGGGAGCAAATTGCGACCCAGGATGTTTGCTCGTTTATCATCAACCACCACGAATGGCGCTGTGTTGATTGTCCACCCTCCTGATTCTATAGGGGCAATCAGCCTGCCGAACGCAGGGATTTTGTAACCGTTGTAGCAGACCATTCTATTTGCCTCGTCATTTTGGTTGAGCTGAATACGTCGAGTTCGTGGCACCGTATTTTCTAATATGACCGCTGTTTTGTTATTTACAAACGATGTTGGGGATCCTGTGTCTGCAATGAAGGTAATGCTGTTCGTCCCAATTTTAACTCGAATAAGGTGTCCTATTAAGTCGTTTGTTGTTAAGTTTCCTGCCGTTTCTTCTTCGTAGTGTACCGCATTTACGCTGTTGTCATCTGGATTTATGAATTCCCATCCCGGGACGACATCCCCTGCCTGGAGATAGTCGACATACGCTGCTATGTCGGTGTCCTGGACATTCGCTTTGAGATTTGCTTCTTCGCTGATAGCATTAACATTGGAAGAGTTGCAGAGTCGTGCGTAGTGTCCTCTTTTTGTGCACTTATTGCAAATCTTGTCTTTTGCTGGACATTGTTGGAGGTGACCGGGTCCGAACGGATTACCGCACTTAAAACAAGATTGCTTTCTGTCTCTGTTTTGTCGTTGCGAGCTTCCCCGCTGTGTTTGTCCTCGACCGCTATTGTTTCCTCTTCTGTTATTACGGTACGGGTCCCCTCCTCTTCTTTGAATGAACCCAACTGGTTCTGTTTTTATACCCGTTTGTTGAAAAGGATTAGTCGTGGAACCCTGCTTGCGGATTTGGATTTGATTTTCCAACCCTTTTTCTCTGCGTATGGCGTATTCAAACGCTTGCTCTGGGGATTTGGTCTCGGCTAGTAGATATTTTTGTACTTCATCATTTGTCATATTCGCTGTGAATAAATCTCGAATAATCTCTGTTTCTAATGTGCTATTGTTGCAATTGGGACATTTGAAGTTTCCTTTTATGACCAATTCAGTGAGCCCGCAGTGGAACTGTTCCAGCGTTTCTGTTTTATTCTGCTTTCTTGTGAAGGCCTCGTATCTATCAAATGTAACATTACGGTCTTTAATGAAAAGGTGTTCCAATCGATTCCAGAATGCTCTCGTTGATATTTCTTGTATCTTTATGTCTGGATAGTGTTGGTTTAGGCGTCTTTGACCTTCGTTACCAAGACTTAGGTAAATGTAGCTTCTGACTTTTATGTCGGCTTCCTCCCATGGTATTCCATCCACGGTGGGTCCCAAGTTGTCCAGTTGTGCACATTGGTTGTCCCATTGTATCTTTTTTTCTTGGTTACGAATGTTCCTGTCCCTGGTTTGTGCTTGAGTTTCCCCTTCTATAGGGAGTTCATAACCGGGTTCTTGCGGTTTTCTCACTGCAGGTGGATCTCGTAATAACTTTTGCAGGTTTATGCCATCTTTTGCGACAATTCCTAAGTAGAGTTGCTGGTTCCACTTCTCCCACTCTGTTGGCGGTTCCGCCGAGGCTTTTTGCCAGAATGGGGCAATGCCGAGTGGGTTTTTTGTTGTAAGTGCTGGCTGCGCCATGTTATACCCTCAACCGTTGGGTGAGGTATACAGTGTGTAATCTATGTAGTCAAAGTCAATGCTTGATCGCTAACTGAGAATAGAATACGAAGAGATAGAGAACAACTTAAATTCAGTTACGAAAGTTAAGTCTGATTCGAATCTGACCTCGAAATCATGAGAGAGACAGAGACTCATAAATAACTATTGAATATGGTGTTAGGTTTAATAGGTACTTAATTTAGATCAGACTTCTATATAGTTCAGTTTACATAAGTATATATGGTTAGCACTCAAGATGGATATACTGTCTTAGGTAGACATAGTTCTAATATATCCGAATGGATATCAGTTCATATCGGTACCTACTGTATCCGTATGGATAACATACACTTTGGATTTTCAAAAAATTTCCTTGTTTTCTTTTTTTGCTACAGTTGGATTACTGTCATTGAAACAATCTATGCTATTTTTGCACAGCAACTGGTTATGCTTGTTTTTGAAAAAAAATTTACTACTATCCATGCAGCGAGAATGAATATAAGTCGAGTAGCGAGAATGAATAATGGTCGCAGATGAATATCAGTAGCACTGCAAAAAGCGATAGTCGTCGCAATAAAATTTAAAATTATTAAGAGGATAATTTGAAAAAAAAAATAGATTTGGCAATGCACTACAACCAAACGGCCATGTTTTGGCGGGTGTGTGATTCGATATGGAACTATTCATAGAATTACTATGCAAATATGCTGATAAAAGTACCTATCCTAGAACTGCCGCTATTCTGTTTGCGACGAATTGTTGTTTGCTATGAAATATCACCTGGTGCTTTTTGGCAACATTTTTACCTTTGAATAAATTAAATAAACTAAATAGATTTTTGGAACAGCTCTAAGAGTTGAACATAGTGAAAACGGTTTCTGACGGCAAAACGCGCAGTTTTAGATTAATTAGCTCCTTGCAGATTCGGTGGCCGGAAAGGATGTTGCTAACCGACAATTTGGCGTTCGTTGCAATATGATTGATTATCATCACATTAAAAACCTCATTTTTAATTCCAGACTAACCAGAATTCGCCGTCCTCATCCGACACGAGATCCAACTGTTGCTTCTCTCTCTCCGAAATGGACCTCCACTCGGGGGAGGCATCACTCCACGCCCCCGTCCACTCCTTCTCCCCCCACGGGTTGCGCACCCTGATCAACTTCACATCTGTCCTCCCCCCTCTCCCTCCCCCCGTTCGTCTCTCCAACTGCAACACAAGAAGCTGAACTTTGACTTAGCTCCAGCAGCTCCAGTTTATTTAACTTCATTTTTTATGATTCTAACTTCAAAAAATAATGTTTTATTTCTGGAAACCAAATTTGACAATTAAACAATTAAACTCATCTAAAAAATTTTTTAAAAAAGCCCCCCATCCCAAAAAAAATAAAGAGCCATTTTTTCTACTACTAAGTGGAAGCCTGACCTCTACCAGTCCTGTTATGCTATATGCGTGACCTCTGATGAGTCCATTGTCCAATTTGGATTCCATCTCCTGTCTCGAATTGACCTGAAAGCAAAATAACCTCATGGATCCAAACTTAAAAACAGTTTCTAATTAGACTCGAACCAAATGTAATTCAAGGAAAATAACGCCCAGCTCCCATTTTGGAGTTTCGAGAAAAAACGGGGTTTATTTGCCGCTAAAACTGACAATTTACTCAAATAAAAAAAAAAGAGACAGCAACTCAACAGTGAAATGTCGAAGAACATATTGAGAGACTCTATTGAGGGGTTTTTCCAAATAAAAATTAAAAGTTTAATGACAATTTTTTGGTACTTGATTTTCAGAAAACTATTTGCTACAATTTTGACATACATTTGAAAACTCGCGAATTGAGCTTAAAAGCTGCAATCAGGATGTATCATCTTTCCACCTTATCAGAGTTCGAGCGAAGCAATTATGAAATTTTTTCATTTATTTACTGGGCAACTTGAAAACGCATCATCAAAAAGTTCACTAACGCTTTCCTTAAAATAAAAATAGTTATAGAAACTGTGAAATCATAGAAACATACACTTTTGAAGCAAGTTTGATCACATTTTAGCAATTAAATTTTATTTGATTATCAACTAAAATTGATTTTTTTGATAAGCTTGAAAGTTAATTAAGCCTGAAATCAGCGAGCGTAACCCAGTTTTGATCCGAAGAAAAATAGTTTGTAAAAAAGGTATTATGATTGAAAAAAGGTACTATGATTGAAAAAAGGTACTATAGTTAGTTCTTTGACATTATCAACTAAAACATAGGCCATTTTTTTGTTTTTTGCCCAAAAACTTTTTCTATTAAGTTTAATTACCAGTTAAGTCATCAAATTCTGTTGCTATTATCCAGAGAATGTCAATAAAATGGTTCAATTCGTTTTGCAAATTTTGGTGCCAAAACTTTGCCTTAGAATGGGTCGTTTTGATTTTATAAGTCAATAAAAAATACACGTTTTGTAATGAGTCAAATGATGAGCAAGAAAAATCAAAGTTAGCCTCTTATACAGCTCGACAAAGTTTCAGAAGGGTAAAACCTCCAGAATTTGCGCAAAATGTTTAAATACACACTCCGCGTCATAATTTTTCGTACCACCTTAATACATGGTAAACACTTGTTATAAGACAAAAGTTGGCCAAATTTTTTCGTACCCGAAGGGTTTTGTTGAAAAATGTCACGAATTGCGCGCAAATGGTTCTGTTTACGATTGATATAGCAGGTACCTGTCCTAATATGATTGAAAGTCAGTGTTTGACATGCACTCACGCGAGATTATCGAAATAGCGAAAGAAAAACATGCAAATGGTTTTTCAAATTGCCGAATCAGTCAAGCACTGAATTTACCAAAATCAACAGTCCAGTGTATGATCAAGAATGACTACGCAAGAGTGAAAGCAAAGCGGGAACCCAAGCAAGTGACCCTTGGTTTCAAAAAACTGTGTAAAAAACGATGCATTGCTCTACTGAAAAAACGCAAAAAAAGATTGACAGCCTCAAAAGTCCTGAGGGAGACAGCCCCCAAAATCAGCAAAAGAACGGTTCATCGGGCCTTATCAGGAATGAGGTATAGGTACAAAAATGCAAAGCTTACGATTGTTTTGACCAAAATGCAGAAAGAAAATCGAGTACGCCTCTGCACTGGATGGTTGACTAAACCAAAAAAACTGGGATGAAGTCGTCTTTACGGATGAAAAAAAATCTAACCTAGACGGACCCGACAACTGGTGTTCCTGGATGGAGGAAAATTATCAAGTGTGCCTCAATCAACGTCAATGTGGGGGTGGTTCCCTAATATTCTCGGGTATCATTTTTTCGACCGGTCACATTTTAATCAAAATGTTATCTGGTCGAATAAGTTTGGGCACCTATATCAAGCTTATGAAAGACGTTGCCATCCCTTTAATGAGAGACACTCTCCCCGATGATCAATTGCAGTATTCTTGTTTCAAAAAAAAAGTACGGATTTTTTTGAGGAGACGGGAATTGATCTTCTAGCTTGGCCCAGCAGGAGCCCGGACCTCATCATTATAACATTATAGAAAACGTTTAAGGCTTGTTGAGGTCAAGAAATTTTGATTGTCCGCAACCGAAAGACAAACGAGAACTGGAAGAAAGAGTTTTTGAAGCCGTAGATCACATGAACTCGCATACTTCTGAATATGTTAAAACTCTATTCTCATCGCTGCATAGTCGTTTATTATCATGTGTTACGAGAATTTGAATTAAAGTTTCTTACTAATTTTTTTTGAACATTACCGAAGTGGTGCGAAAAAATTTGGTTTACTTTTGCGTTGAATTGATGAAATTACATAAATTAAGATGGTATAAAACAATGTGACGCACAGCGTAGTTCCAAGCAAAGATTTCGAAATTGATGTAAAAAAACAACATCTTTTAGCTACTAATAAGAAAAACCAATATTATTTATAGAAAAACAAGGTATTATGGTTATTTCTTTGAAAAGATCAACTAAAACATAGGCCATAATTTATAACTTTTTTCCCAAAAAGTTTTTTAATGAAATTTCAAGGTAAGTCATCAAAATCTGTTGTTATCAACCACAGAATGTCAATTCGAAGCTAAAATTAAGAAAAAGACAGACAAAGATTTTTTGGTTTTTTGCTTTACTGTTGTTGCATTTTGAGTGTTGCACTTGATGTATAACTTAAATTCCATATCCAGAAAAATAAAGAAAAATCAGTCAAACAACTTTTTTAGCAGTCAAACAAGTTTTTTTCATCATTTTATCCTGAATGATCAGTGGTAGGGGATTGAAACCCATGTGAGTATTGGAATGAAAACTAGTTATTCTTCATACCTCATGGCACTATTTTCTTATATTTTGCAATTTTTCAGAAGACGTGAGACATAGTTTTTTTCTAAAAATTTAGCCGTTGCAGCCAAGAATTTTTTCAATTAAGTCATTTACTGTTTTAATCTATTTCAGTCTGTAAATTTTTGCTATTTCAGTCTGTAAATCGTGCAGAAATGAATTATTCGAAGAAAAAAACTAAACAAAATTTGAAATTTTAAACGGTTTTTTAATATGGGTTAGGATCAACCAAAATGTCTTAGAGTTTTGCCAAAACTCTTTAGCAAGTTTTGGTGCCAAAACATTACACTAAAAGTTCCATCAAGTTTTGCCTCTTATACAGCTTAACAATGTTTTGGGAGGGTTTGCCTCCAAATTTTACGCAAAATCTTTAAAACATACTTTCAAGCCAAAAATTGGAATTTTGTTTTTAAAAAAACGACATTTATTTTGGCTATCAAATGGAAATAAATTTCATTTTACGAAAACAAGGTACTATAGTTGTTTCTATGAAATGATCAGCTCAAACATAGGCCATTGTTTACGTTTTTTTGCCCGAAGATTTTTTAATCAAACCTAATTTCTAGGAAATTCATCGAATTCTGTTGCTATCAGCAATAGAATATCAAAAAATGCAAAAGTTCAAAGAAACACCATTTTTTTCCGTTTTTTCGAATTTATTTTATTGTTTTTCGGTTTTGCCCAGCATAAAAAATTAATATTATTATGATGATTGATCTATATTATCGTTTGTTGTAGTCAAACAAGTTTTTTTTGCTCATTTATCCTGAATGATCAGTGGTCGGGAAATGAAATCTTCGTGAGCGCTGGGTTGAAAAATATTTATTCTTCATACCTACCTGCACTGCTTTTTTAATCTTTTACCAAGGAATGCAAATTTCACCTTCAACAGAGAGCTTTTGAACAAATTTTGTAAGAATTTTTTAAATTTCCAGTATCTTTGAGACATGCTTTTTTTCTGAAAAATCAGCCGTTGCGTGCCAAAATAAAATCGAATGATTTTTTGGCAGTTTTAATTTTTTTCAGTCTGTAAACTCTTGCTATGTTAAGTCGTGCTGAATTAGGTTATCCGGACAAATTTTAAACGCAGTTTTCTTGTATGGGTTGAGAACAGATCAACAAATAAGAGAAACAAAGTTTTCTGAATTTTCACCAAAATTCTAAGGGTGCATATAATTTAGCAAATTTTGATGCCAAAACATTACACTAAAAATGGGTCGTTTTGATTTTTTTGTCAATAAAAAATAAACTTTTTGTAAGGAGTCAATTGATGAGCAAGTTATATCAACGTTAGCCTATTATTCAGCTTAAAAAGTTTTTTGAAGGCTTTAACTCCAAAATTTGCACAAAACGTTCAACATTTGTTTCCAAGAAAAGAACTGGAATTTGATATAATGAAAATGATATTTTTTTACTATCAAATGAAAAAAAGACAATTATATAAAAACAAGGTACTTTAGCTAATTCTAGGAAAATCGCATTATTTTGACCAAAATTCACGTTATTTTGCCCAACATTTTTCTATCATACCTAAACTCCAGTTAAGTCATCAATTTTATTTGCTATCAAGCAGAGAAAACCAATCGAGTTGCAAAATTTAAAAAATAGACCTAAGAAGATGAGTTGATTTTTAAATTTTATTTTTGCGTCTTCATTTTTGCGTCTTCAGTGGATTAAAATCTATTTTCCGTTTTTGCTCGTCAAACAAATTTTCTTCACTCTTTTCTCCTGAATGATCAGTAGTAGGGTATTGAAATCTACGTAAGTATTGGATGGGAAATTTCCTCTCCTTCTTTTTTGCCTGCTTTACTTAAGTTCATCTTTTACAAAGGGTTGCAAATTTGCAACAGAGAAAAAAAACAAAGTGAGCAATCGGCCACCAAAAAGTTTTTTAATGAAATTTCAAGGTAAGTCATCAAAATCTGTTGTTATCAACCACAGAATGTCAATTCGAAGCTAAAATTAAGAAAAAGACAGACAAAGATTTTTTGGTTTTTTGCTTTACTGTTGTTGCATTTTGAGTGTTGCACTTGATGTATAACTTAAATTCCATATCCAGAAAAATAAAGAAAAATCAGTCAAACAACTTTTTTAGCAGTCAAACAAGTTTTTTTCATCATTTTATCCTGAATGATCAGTGGTAGGGGATTGAAACCCATGTGAGTATTGGAATGAAAACTAGTTATTCTTCATACCTCATGGCACTATTTTCTTATATTTTGCAATTTTTCAGAAGACGTGAGACATAGTTTTTTTCTAAAAATTTAGCCGTTGCAGCCAAGAATTTTTTCAATTAAGTCATTTACTGTTTTAATCTATTTCAGTCTGTAAATTTTTGCTATTTCAGTCTGTAAATCGTGCAGAAATGAATTATTCGAAGAAAAAAACTAAACAAAATTTGAAATTTTAAACGGTTTTTTAATATGGGTTAGGATCAACCAAAATGTCTTAGAGTTTTGCCAAAACTCTTTAGCAAGTTTTGGTGCCAAAACATTACACTAAAAGTTCCATCAAGTTTTGCCTCTTATACAGCTTAACAATGTTTTGGGAGGGTTTGCCTCCAAATTTTACGCAAAATCTTTAAAACATACTTTCAAGCCAAAAATTGGAATTTTGTTTTTAAAAAAACGACATTTATTTTGGCTATCAAATGGAAATAAATTTCATTTTACGAAAACAAGGTACTATAGTTGTTTCTATGAAATGATCAGCTCAAACATAGGCCATTGTTTACGTTTTTTTGCCCGAAGATTTTTTAATCAAACCTAATTTCTAGGAAATTCATCGAATTCTGTTGCTATCAGCAATAGAATATCAAAAAATGCAAAAGTTCAAAGAAACACCATTTTTTTCCGTTTTTTCGAATTTATTTTATTGTTTTTCGGTTTTGCCCAGCATAAAAAATTAATATTATTATGATGATTGATCTATATTATCGTTTGTTGTAGTCAAACAAGTTTTTTTTGCTCATTTATCCTGAATGATCAGTGGTCGGGAAATGAAATCTTCGTGAGCGCTGGGTTGAAAAATATTTATTCTTCATACCTACCTGCACTGCTTTTTTAATCTTTTACCAAGGAATGCAAATTTCACCTTCAACAGAGAGCTTTTGAACAAATTTTGTAAGAATTTTTTAAATTTCCAGTATCTTTGAGACATGCTTTTTTTCTGAAAAATCAGCCGTTGCGTGCCAAAATAAAATCGAATGATTTTTTGGCAGTTTTAATTTTTTTCAGTCTGTAAACTCTTGCTATGTTAAGTCGTGCTGAATTAGGTTATCCGGACAAATTTTAAACGCAGTTTTCTTGTATGGGTTGAGAACAGATCAACAAATAAGAGAAACAAAGTTTTCTGAATTTTCACCAAAATTCTAAGGGTGCATATAATTTAGCAAATTTTGATGCCAAAACATTACACTAAAAATGGGTCGTTTTGATTTTTTTGTCAATAAAAAATAAACTTTTTGTAAGGAGTCAATTGATGAGCAAGTTATATCAACGTTAGCCTATTATTCAGCTTAAAAAGTTTTTTGAAGGCTTTAACTCCAAAATTTGCACAAAACGTTCAACATTTGTTTCCAAGAAAAGAACTGGAATTTGATATAATGAAAATGATATTTTTTTACTATCAAATGAAAAAAAGACAATTATATAAAAACAAGGTACTTTAGCTAATTCTAGGAAAATCGCATTATTTTGACCAAAATTCACGTTATTTTGCCCAACATTTTTCTATCATACCTAAACTCCAGTTAAGTCATCAATTTTATTTGCTATCAAGCAGAGAAAACCAATCGAGTTGCAAAATTTAAAAAATAGACCTAAGAAGATGAGTTGATTTTTAAATTTTATTTTTGCGTCTTCATTTTTGCGTCTTCAGTGGATTAAAATCTATTTTCCGTTTTTGCTCGTCAAACAAATTTTCTTCACTCTTTTCTCCTGAATGATCAGTAGTAGGGTATTGAAATCTACGTAAGTATTGGATGGGAAATTTCCTCTCCTTCTTTTTTGCCTGCTTTACTTAAGTTCATCTTTTACAAAGGGTTGCAAATTTGCAACAGAGAAAAAAAACAAAGTGAGCAATCGGCCACCTTCAAACAATATTTGCATGAAGTTTCATTTTTTCAGCAACCTTGGGACCTGAATTTTTTCTGAGAAATTAGCTTTTACATAAAATTTTTTTGAGGCTGATCATTTGCTGTTTTGAATTTTTTCAGTCTGTAAATTTTTGCTACAAACAGTTGTGCTGAATTAAATTATCCGGACAAAATAAAACAAAACTTCAAACTTTGAACGCGGTTTTTTTTTCTGATTTTGGGTTGAAATTTGACGAAAAATTGTGAGAACAAAAACTGCTCAGAATTGTACCTTAATTGTTATGTTGCAGTTAATGTCGGGAATTTCGGTGCCAAAATTCTACCTTTTAAATGGATCGTTTTGACTTTTTTATTCAATCAAAAACTATGCTTATTCTAACGAAACAATGAGCAAGCTATTTCAAAATTAGCGTCTTATACTGCTCAACAAAATTTTAGAGGGATAAAAACAACCAACTTTTGACTGATTAAATTGCTCAAGGTCGCACCGATTTTGCCAACAATTTGACATTAACTATAACTAATTTTGTCTGTTGCAACTTTTTGCCACTTATCATACCGGTATGGAGCAGCCCATAAGCGACCTCCTGTTGAATGCCTTCTTCACTATAGTGTACAGTTCATCCACACTACTCTGCTCCGCCCCCTCCCCATGCAGTTCCACTTGTTCTGTGATGCCCCCCGTGAAGTCAGCCAGCCCCTCCTCAATCGAGCCCCCCATCAGGGCCTCATAGCACCCGAACAGTCTGCAGGCGAACGAACAAATAACAAATAGCTTTTCTTTTCTTTAGGTATTTTGAAAATTTGAGGAAAAGAAAACAAACAAGAATGAATCTGCAAAGCTGAGTATACTTCTCATCTTGAAAAATGTGTTTTAGTTTTTAAAAGGTTCCTTAAAAATTTCAAGGAGTCATGCGAAAAAAAATAGTTGCAAAACGTTTAGCATTGATAGGAATCGGCTTTTTATTAATTTATTTTTTTCAAAATATTCGAACTATAATATCAAGTATTCCAATCGATCAAACTAACCCTCGCTGTCGCAAAAAGTGTAGATCTAACGTCACAAATGCACCACACAGGTGTGTGTTCCACAATGAACAGTCGAATTACCACTTATTGTTGCGACTTTGGAAGAAAGTGAGGAACATAAATGCCCGGGGTTTTTTATGCCCGGGGTTTTTTATTCAGACAGATTTTAGAAAAACTGACTGCGTATGGGCATCGATCCAGATGCGAGCGAGTATGCTTGCACTAGACAAAAGTGCGGTTTTGCTGTTGGAAGAATACTTGACTGTTTTTCCTTTTTTCCCCACCTCACACCAGCATCAATTTAATAGACTAGCGAGTGGTTTTGCAAGGGTTATTATGAAGACCAAAGATGTTTGTCGCGGCCTAATTAGTCTGCATGTCAGTTTTCATAATAAACGGACAATGTGAACAGTAATTTTTTGAATAAAAGTTTGCAGGTGGGGGGGGGGAGAAAAAGAGCCGAATAGTTTGATAATTTGTTTCAATATGCGAATTATTGTTCCGACTTTCAAGAAAACCGAATATTTATGCTCGCTGTGGTTTTTCATTCAGTCAATTTTTGCCGATTGAAATAATAGTTATCGAGAAAATTTGTTTATACCCCATTCAAGATATCGACCCCTTGAGTTCAAACTTAAAAAGATATTTTACTTCCAATTATATTTTGTAAAGTTCTGGGAGTTTGAAAATTGCCAAATTGGTCATGTTCTGGACTAAATTAGGCGCTCTTTGAAGAGTTCATTCATATTGCTGAGAGCGTAACGCGAATTATTTATTCGTGGCGAATTATCCCGCACAACAAAATCGTTCCAAATCAAATTGAATAGAAGCTAGCAAACCAGATCGGTCGGATTAATTTCGTACGACTCAACTTTCAAACTTCGATATAATCAGCTTAAAAAATGCAGTTTGTCAATATTTCATGTACCAAAAGCGGTTCGGTACCATGGGAAGTTCGTGGGCAGTGGGAACCTTCAGGGTTTTATGCCCTGATACGAGCAAACTTCATGAAAAAATTTATGCAGAAAGATTTGAGCAAAAGATTACCAATTTATTGCAAAGTTACTCAATAGGCTGATAGTACAATGATTTTGTCAAAATTGAAAATAAAAACACAGATTTTGACCATCGTGAAAGTTTGTATGAAATACTGTCGCATTACTTAAGAGAATCTTCATGAAAACTAATGGCGAAAAAGACGCATTCTGAAGCTCAAAACATTACTCAATACAATTAGTAAGCAGACAAAACTCACAAAAACATTTAAAAACATCATTTGTTTCGCACAAGACAATGATGCAAGACTGCTCGTACCAGGGCAAAGCCCCGAATGTTCCAACTGTCTTTTAAGGTCTATGAAGCAATGTTCGCTCAAAAAAATTAGAAGAAATATTGAGTTTTTTCTTTCATACCTCCAAACGCCATTAACGCGCGATATATTAACGTGCTATTACCGCGTGAGCGGAGATTTAATCCGTCTTAAAAATTGTTCCAAATTGGTTTAAAGAAGCTTATTTTGTCATAATTGATTTGTTACTAGGAGCGAAAACTATCTCTTTGTAGTCTATATGCCGAGTGGGGGGATACTTATAATAATATATTTGTTTTTATTTTTTTAACATTTATTTTTTCCATGTTATTTCTGCTTCATAGACCCTAAAAAGCAGTCGAAATATTCAGGGCTTCGCCCTGATGCGAGCAGTCTTGTTCAGATACGGAATCAAAATTTATAAGTTTGCCAGAAACATACACAGACTTCATTTAACAATTTAGACAACCCAAATCATCAAGCAATTGAGCCAAATATTGTCAACTATAACAAAAGAAAATCTAACGAGCAGAAGAAACCCTCCGAAAAAGTACCGAAAGTTTCAAAAAAAACCGAAATTGTTGCAGAAGTGTTAGGTAACAGTAAACAGCTCATTTTTGGATGATTTAAATTGTAACTAGCTTATAGGTTAACTATCTTATAGGGCTTGAGTTGGAAGAACTTATTTTTTGGTTAATCAACTTTCCTGAAACACACTAAGACGAATCAACGGGGTGCGTACAGTAAACCGATGTGTCAGTAAACTACCAGATCAGTAAACCGATTTACGTAATAATTACATCAATTGTGGAATTAAAGATTTATAGAATAAATGTTTTCTGAGCTAGAACAATACTTTTAAAACTACGGGGCGCATGGGAAGAGTCATGTTATTCCATTTTTGATTCAATTTTTGTTTTGAGGAAAAAATTTATCATTTTGTAAAAATCTCAGTTTTTAGCTAAGGTGATTACGTAATTGAATCAAGAATTTTTGGTTTATTGATCTGGTCCGCCCGTTTTCGGTTTACTGATACATCAGTTTTTTTACCTAACACCGAATCAATATTGGCCAAACTTTCTACGCTGCTTGAAAGTTTCAGCAAAAGTTAATCGAAATCTCGTTTTTGGGCACATTTGGAAAAAAATTGCGTTTTGTTGATTGCTTTCCTTTCATTATTATTGGTATATTTAAAATATTTGAGCGCCTTCAGGAAAATTCAATGGGTTTTCGGTCAAAAATAGATGCATTACAAAAGTACCAAATGGAAACCATTTGGGGACCGAAGGTGTCGATTCCTTGAGACCCCCCCCCCACCCTAAGTCAGCTTACTCACTTGGCGTATGCTTTTTCCACCAAGGCACTCCAGAACTCATTCTTGTCTCTCGAGTGAACAAACACCAGGTTGCCCTTGAACGTCGGCAGTCGATCGTCAATTAGCACCTGAATTCAAACAAAACCGACCTGTCTCTTCTACCATTTTATACCATCAATTTTTTAAAATTTGTTTAATTGCTTTGAAATTGGCATGTGGGGTAATTACCCAAGTTCAAACGCTTTTTTTTCATATTCAACTTCAATGATAAATCAATGATAAAACCAATGAAATCAATGATAAAAACGCAAAGTCGTTATTTATATCTGGTAGCGGGAGTCGGTCGAAGAGCCAACCACCTTCAGATTTCATTTCAAAAACATTCGAAGCTCTTTTAGAAACCACCCCCACCACCCCCTCCCCGATTAGCAAAAGCGGATCTCCTAACAAGATTATATTTTTTATTACGCTTAAACCTTCGATTAGACTATGATATTTTACCACAAGGAAGAAGTTTTGCTAGAGAAAACTTAAGTTTCGATCCGCTAAAGTATGTTTTGAAAATCTTATAGGCAGTAATTTGCGCCCTATTAGGTTTATTAACTGCCCGTTCTGTCTGTTGCTTCCCGTTTTTTCTAGAATTTTCAATTCCAAGATGCGCTTTCTTCTATTCGCTTGCTGGCACTCGCCCTGCAAGTTATAGTACCCCTTAATTTAGACCTATATGGGGGGGGGGGGGGGCGAGGGGGTTTTCTGGTCAAGAGCCGAGTCTGCTTCTATTTTTGAGCGTGATGAGCTTCTAAAAAAATAATAGAGTGTGAGTGGGGGGATTGCATGAGGTTGCGCGACCGCACCTCTTGCCAGTTCCCGTCGACCCAGAAGTAGAAGCGGAAGCAGCCACAGTAGTCTGGGTCTGAGAAGTCCTGGTCTTTTGGAACCACACAGTGGAACAGGTCCTCGTGCATCGACAGACACGCCAGAGACGCCAGAAGCCAACAGTCTCCTGAAAACAAGACAACACATAAGACAGAAGGCTAGTTTGTCTAAGACTCATAACAAATTACACAATTCGATAAGCGAGACGTGAAAAACATAGACAAAGTGATCAGTATGTCACATTGTCAGAGAAAACAGAAGCATAGGCAAGACAGAACTATGAAAACAACAAAAAAACGACCGGCGAAGCAAGATCGACATCGCCATTTCAACTTGGACATCTTTCGGACACAAATGTCTGTGGATGTTTTTTATGGGTATTTTTCTGTCTTTGGACAATTTGGGCCAATATACAATTGCCTGGAACACAAATGTCTGGCCATGACAGATACATATTAACAATTTAGGTCGACCAACAATTTGATTTTCCGAGCTCTCCTAAAATAGTATAGTATTTGGACCGTATTTTTTCACCGCAGGCAAATTTTTCAAAAAACACGCCAAAAAATGCGTTTTTAGGCACTTATTTAAAAATTTTGACCAAAAATGGCGTTTTTTTTGCGCGCTCCCCCTCGAAATAAGTCATATTGGCGCCAAAGGCGCCTTGAGAAAAATTTTGAGGTTTTTCACCGATAAATGGATGTCATAAGTTTTACCAAAGGGGGGACCCTTTGGAAAATTTTGAAAGCCAGGAAAGCAAGTAAAGTAGAAACAAAAACGAAATCGCCGAGAGTGTTGTGCTCACCTAGTTTTCCCTGAGTGATGTCAAATCTACTGGCACCATCTGAGAACATTTTCGGGTTGCTAATAATCTCCTGAAGCAAAAATAATCCATTATATTACCTTTGGGTGACTTAATTTTTACCTTCGTCTTTTAATATCATTGATTCCAATAGAAGAGTGGCAATCTGATTTGATTATCTTGACCATTAGAAGCTTATTTTGGCCTAAATACTTCTATTTGGTTGAAAAATTACTTGAACCAACTCACAGTATACTAAATTCAGGTAAAAACAGTTGCCGTTTGTTTTGTCAAAAAAGTTTTGTGAAAAGTTATCTCAAAAAACTACGTTTTTCTAATACTAAATTTTACGAGTGTTCATTTTTCAGCAAGATGTTTTTTGTTGCGAAAGGTCGGTGGATCGAAACCCAGCCTGATCAGCTATATCTCGGAACTAAAAAAAATAGCATGTAGTTTTTTAACCGGGTCATAACAGCGGTTCTGTGGAGTACACTGAACAGCTCGTGTGTTGGTTCCTAAATGGTCAGGTAGATCCTCAATGCTCTTAAATATACTGACCTTGGGTCGCATCCACTTGAAGTCGCTCTGGGGTCGTCTGGTGCGGAAGCAGGAGTTCATGGTGGCAGGGAATGACTCATCCTCCCACAACAGTCCCCTGCCCCTCCTTCTGCACTCTTTTTTCTGCGCTTTCCACAGGGGACTGTCCTGCTTCTCATTATGCTCCGCTACCATTCCAGGTCAGATTTCGAGGCAGAGGTCAATTCAGAGGTCAACTCAGAGGTCAAATCAGAGGTCAAATCAGAGGTCAAATCAGAGGTCAAGTCAATGCTCAGCCCAGAAGTCAAGTTAGAAATTCAGTAAACGAAGCCAAAGCCGAGAGCCGAGGTCAAGTTAGTATCAGTTGGATTTAAAACTAAGCGCTATAATCATAAAAAGAAGCAGGATTATAACCGAAGAAATTTTTGCTTTTTGCGTTGTTTTTTTCTCACACCGGTTTTTTATTTTGACTCATTCTTTTTTCCTCAAAACAGGTAGTCCCTCAAATTTACAGCTTTTTTTGCTATTCTTAATATGTTCAGATGATCAAAAAGAATTCGAGTTTCGAGTAGCGGATTTAGGGATTCGACTCCGGACTATTTGAGATTTCCCCAAAATCCAGTTTTGGTGGACCAACCTTAAAACTTTTCTGCATTCTGAAGGCGCTTTTGGAACCAATGTAGATTAAATTTGAGAAAAATTTCCAAAAATAGCTCAAAAAGGTATCTTTTATCTAGTTTCTTCAAACTTTTTGGCGAATTTGAGTCTTTGTAGTGTTTTGAGAACGAAACAAAATCAATTTGAGTAATCTAAGAAAGGTTGAAAAACTTGCTTACTTTTCGAATAAAAAGTTATAGTTGGGATTGTTTGCCAAAACAAAATACAAACATGTAAATCACTATATGAACATACGAGCGTTTGCGTGAAGATAGTAGTTCTGGTAAAAATTTTGTTACCGGAATTTTAAGAAAATTTAGAAGTGTTTTTTTTTCGTTAAAAGACTATTTTGGTTTACTTTGTGTCTGCTTAGTTACCTCATATTACATACAAAAACGTTTTTTTTTTGCTTTCTATTTTGCTAAAACTTACAAAAAAAATTGTGCAAAATAGCAAAATAGCTAGATGATTACCTTTACCAGCACAGTAGCAAAAATGGAATTGCGTTTATTGTATTGGTAAAGTGAATCATCGGACTATTTGCTATTTTTTCATTTTTTTTGTGAATTTAAGCAAAATAGAAAGCAAAACAGACTTTTGAAAGTAATATGAGGTAGCTAAGCCGAAACGAAAAAAAACTTTTCCAAAGTTTCTAACAATTCCGGGAAAATTTTTTTCACCAGGACTACTGTTTTCACGCTAACGCTCTTATATTCAAATAGTTTTTTGTTATTCAAAAACTCAGTAAGAAGCCATCAAGCCGATGCAATTTAGGCCGAAATCATTTAGGCCGGAAAAGTGAAAAGAAAAAAGCCAAAAAAAATGTTCCCAAGAGTTATAATTTAACAGTCTGTGTATTCCAGAGATGTGCAGAAAAATTGCATTTTACGTGAAACGACTCAACACTAGGCCGCTAATTCGATAAATTGCAAGCCGAATTCGCAGTCAAGAAATTACAACACGGAGGCGAAGCAGAGCTTCGCATCACTTGCAATATCACGAAGCTAACATTGAAAGCTAGCAAACAGGAAAGGAAAAGAGAGCCACCAAGACCAAAGAAAACAGAAAAATTTTTGAAGAAACCACAGATAAAAAACTTCAACTTCAAATCGTTGTCTCTCGAATGATGTTCTATTTGGGGAGCACGAGTCCAGAAACACATTCGACAGCTTTTAATGAAAACTCAAAAACAAGTTAAAAAAAATGATGTCATGAAAAACTTTAAACTAGAATTTCTATTTTGAGATTTTCAACGTTCTGTATGATCAGGAGGAGATCATAAAAATTATGTTTCCCTCAAACGACCTAAATTAAGTTTTGTAAGCGATAAAAAAATAAGCCGAGATCATTTTGGCCAAAAAAGGCTTCGAGCAAAAACATGTTTTGAGCTGAGTTGCATAATTCTTAGACACAGGGCGAAGCCGAGCTTCGCACTACTTTGAAAAAAACAAGTATAGGATTAAACGAAGATGACGCTAAAGAAGATGCAAAAAGACTTCGAGCGAAGAAAAAATTGAAAATGGAACTAGAAAAAAAAAACAAATTTAGAAAAAGAAGCAATCATTTTTGACAATTTAATATATTTTTAAGAGGAGTTGATTTTCAGACATCAAAAGAAAGGAGGCAGAGTTTTATCGATTTTTAAAAAACCAAATATTCGTGGGAAACAAAACAATAGGTGAAAAGCCGACAAACCGAATTAAAACTGATAGCCATAAGCAGAAAATCAACCAAAAAAATGTACTGCTTATATATTGTCCACTAGTGTTTTATGAAAAATAAATGCAAAATTCAACTCGAAAACTGTACCAAATTGTATCAATTTGTCTGGACATTGTATCAATTTGTCTGGAATAAAACTCATTTTAAACAAAATTAGTATGCCAAATAAGACAATTGAACGTTAAATTTGCATCGGAACAAAAATTACGTAGGAATAACAACCAAATAATGCTCAATAATTCAGTGCTCAAAAAATGGCACTAAAAATTTTTTTTTATGAAAGTTTTTTAAAAATTTATTTGTTAACTTTGTATTATTAAAAATCAATTGCTTTCACTAATGGCCTTCCGAAAATTAGAAGAAAGCTGAATCTTTGAAAATTGTCCGTGGTATGGGAATTAAGTCAAAAAACAAAGAGGCGGACGGTTCCACGAAAAAGCAGAAAATTTCTAATTTGAAAAAAAAACAGGCCCCGGCTGGATTCAAACCACACGCCTTAGTTGTCTTAAGTAATTGTTACCTCCACACCAGATGGGTCGTGTGATTGATTTAATTTAAATTTATTCTAGTAAGCGAACTAAAATGCCGAAAATTTGGTTTAGAAAAAAAAACTTTTAAAAAAATTTTTAAACAAAAGCTGTCAGTTTTTTTTGAATAAGTTTTTATTTGTATTACGGATGGCTTAAGAGGGTAATTTATCCTTTTTGAAAAATTCTTGTTAGATGCCAATCATTATAAAACCAATAATTCAGTAGAAATAAAATGATAGAAAAATAAGCCGACGGAACTAATGCCAAATGACCTCAGTGCCGAAAACCTACCAAAAATTATCAAATATAATAATAAAATTATATCTACTAACTTAAACACAAGGCAAATTTAGTAACCATGCAATTATTAAACCATGCAGTGGTACACTGATCATGCAACGCGAATAAAGGCAAATGCAGTTAACATGCTATTAACTATCCATGCTGTGGTACACTGACCATGCATAAATTCGCATTACTTAAGAGAACCTTCATGAAAACTAATGGCGAAAAAGACGCATTCTGAAGCTCAAAACATTACTCAATACAATTAGTAAGCAGACAAAACTCACAAAAACATTTAAAAACATCATTTGTTTCGCACAAGACAATGATGCAAGACTGCTCGTACCAGGGCAAAGCCCCGAATGTTCCAACTGTCTTTTAAGGTCTATGAAGCAATGTTCGCTCAAAAAAATTAGAAGAAATATTGAGTTTTTTCTTTCATACCTCCAAACGCCATTAACGCGCGATATATTAACGTGCTATTACCGCGTGAGCGGAGATTTAATCCGTCTTAAAAATTGTTCCAAATTGGTTTAAAGAAGCTTATTTTGTCATAATTGATTTGTTACTAGGAGCGAAAACTATCTCTTTGTAGTCTATATGCCGAGTGGGGGGATACTTATAATATTATATTTGTTTTTATTTTTTTAACATTTATTTTTTCCATGTTATTTCTGCTTCATAGACCCTAAAAAGCAGTCGAAATATTCAGGGCTTCGCCCTGATGCGAGCAGTCTTGTTCAGATACGGAATCAAAATTTATAAGTTTGCCAGAAACATACACAGACTTCATTTAACAATTTAGACAACCCAAATCATCAAGCAATTGAGCCAAATATTGTCAACTATAACAGAAGAAAATCTAACGAGCAGAAGAAACCCTCCGAAAAAGTACCGAACGTTTCAAAAAAAACCGAAATTGTTGCAGAAGTGTTAGGTAACAGTAAACAGCTCATTTTTGGATGATTTAAATTGTAACTAGCTTATAGGTTAACTATCTTATAGGGCTTGAGTTGGAAGAACTTATTTTTTGGTTAATCAACTTTCCTGAAACACACTAAGACAAATCAACGGGGTGCGTACAGTAAACCGATGTGTCAGTAAACTACCAGATCAGTAAACCGATTTACGTAATAATTACTTCAATTGTGGAATTAAAGATTTATAGAATAAATGTTTTCTGAGCTAGAACAATACTTTTAAAACTACGGGGCGCATGGGAAGAGTCATGTTATTCCATTTTTGATTCAATTTTTGTTTTGAGGAAAAAATTTATCATTTTGTAAAAATCTCAGTTTTTAGCTAAGGTGATTACGTAATTGAATCAAGAATTTTTGGTTTATTGATCTGGTCCGCCCGTTTTAGGTTTACTGATACATCAGTTTTTTTACCTAACACCGAATCAATATTGGCCAAACTTTCTACGCTGCTTGAAAGTTTCAGCAAAAGTTAATCGAAATCTCGTTTTTGGGCACATTTGGAAAAAAATTGCGTTTTGTTGATTGCTTTCCTTTCATTATTATTGGTATATTTAAAATATTTGAGCGCCTTCAGGAAAATTCAATGGGTTTTCTGTCAAAAATAGATGCATTACAAAAGTACCAAATGGAAACCATTTGGGGACCGAAGGTGTCGATTCCTTGAGACCCCCCCCCTAAGTCAGCTTACTCACTTGGCGTATGCTTTTTCCACCAAGGCACTCCAGAACTCATTCTTGTCTCTCGAGTGAACAAACACCAGGTTGCCCTTGAACGTCGGCAGTCGATCGTCAATAAGCACCTGAATTCAAACAAAACCGACCTGTCTCTTCTACCATTTTATACCATCAATTTTTTAAAATTTGTTTAATTGCTTTGAAATTGGCATGTGGGGTAATTACCCAAGTTCAAACGCTTTTTTTTCATATTCAACTTCAATGATAAATCAATGATAAAACCAATGAAATCAATGATAAAAACGCAAAGTCGTTATTTATATCTGGTAGCGGGAGTCGGTCGAAGAGCCAACCACCTTCAGATTTCATTTCAAAAACATTCGAAGCTCTTTTAGAAACCACCCCCACCACCCCCTCCCCGATTAGCAAAAGCGGATCTCCTAACAAGATTATATTTTTTATTACGCTTAAACCTTCGATTAGACTATGATATTTTACCACAAGGAAGAAGTTTTGCTAGAGAAAACTTAAGTTTCGATCCGCTAAAGTATGTTTTGAAAATCTTATAGGCAGTAATTTGCGCCCTATTAGGTTTATTAACTGCCCGTTCTGTCTGTTGCTTCCCGTTTTTTCTAGAATTTTCAATTCCAAGATGCGCTTTCTTCTATTCGCTTGCTGGCACTCGCCCTGCAAGTTATAGTACCCCTTAATTTAGACCTATATGGGGGGGGGGGGGGGGGGGGCGAGGGGGTTTTCTGGTCAAGAGCCGAGTATGCTTCTATTTTTGAGCGTGATGAGCTTCTAAAAAAATAATAGAGTGTGAGTGGGGGGATTGCATGAGGTTGCGCGACCGCACCTCTTGCCAGTTCCCGTCGACCCAGAAGTAGAAGCGGAAGCAGCCACAGTAGTCTGGGTCTGAGAAGTCCTGGTCTTTTGGAACCACACAGTGGAACAGGTCCTCGTGCATCGACAGACACGCCAGAGACGCCAGAAGCCAACAGTCTCCTGAAAACAAGACAACACATAAGACAGAAGGCTAGTTTGTCTAAGACTCATAACAAATTACACAATTCGATAAGCGAGACGTGAAAAACATAGACAAAGTGATCAGTATGTCACATTGTCAGAGAAAACAGAAGCATAGGCAAGACAGAACTATGAAAACAACAAAAAAACGACCGGCGAAGCAAGATCGACATCGCCATTTCAACTTGGACATCTTTCGGACACAAATGTCTGTGGATGTTTTTTATGGGTATTTTTCTGTCTTTGGACAATTTGGGCCAATATACAATTGCCTGGAACACAAATGTCTGGCCATGACAGATACATATTAACAATTTAGGTCGACCAACAATTTGATTTTCCGAGCTCTCCTAAAATAGTATAGTATTTGGACCGTATTTTTTCACCGCAGGCAAATTTTTCAAAAAACACGCCAAAAAATGCGTTTTTAGGCACTTATTTAAAAATTTTGACCAAAAATGGCGTTTTTTTGCGCGCTCCCCCTCGAAATAAGTCATATTGGCGCCAAAGGCGCCTTGAGAAAAATTTTGAGGTTTTTCACCGATAAATGGATGTCATAAGTTTTACCAAAGGGGGGACCCTTTGGAAAATTTTGAAAGCCAGGAAAGCAAGTAAAGTAGAAACAAAAACGAAATCGCCGAGAGTGTTGTGCTCACCTAGTTTTCCCTGAGTGATGTCAAATCTACTGGCACCATCTGAGAACATTTTCGGGTTGCTAATAATCTCCTGAAGCAAAAATAATCCATTATATTACCTTTGGGTGACTTAATTTTTACCTTCGTCTTTTAATATCATTGATTCCAATAGAAGAGTGGCAATCTGATTTGATTATCTTGACCATTAGAAGCTTATTTTGGCCTAAATACTTCTATTTGGTTGAAAAATTACTTGAACCAACTCACAGTATACTAAATTCAGGTAAAAACAGTTGCCGTTTGTTTTGTCAAAAAAGTTTTGTGAAAAGTTATCTCAAAAAACTACGTTTTTCTAATACTAAATTTTACGAGTGTTCATTTTTCAGCAAGATGTTTTTTGTTGCGAAAGGTCGGTGGATCGAAACCCAGCCTGATCAGCTATATCTCGGAACTAAAAAAAATAGCATGTAGTTTTTTAACCGGGTCATAACAGCGGTTCTGTGGAGTACACTGAACAGCTCGTGTGTTGGTTCCTAAATGGTCAGGTAGATCCTCAATGCTCTTAAATATACTGACCTTGGGTCGCATCCACTTGAAGTCGCTCTGGGGTCGTCTGGTGCGGAAGCAGGAGTTCATGGTGGCAGGGAATGACTCATCCTCCCACAACAGTCCCCTGCCCCTCCTTCTGCACTCTTTTTTCTGCGCTTTCCACAGGGGACTGTCCTGCTTCTCATTATGCTCCGCTACCATTCCAGGTCAGATTTCGAGGCAGAGGTCAATTCAGAGGTCAACTCAGAGGTCAAATCAGAGGTCAAATCAGAGGTCAAATCAGAGGTCAAGTCAATGCTCAGCCCAGAAGTCAAGTTAGAAATTCAGTAAACGAAGCCAAAGCCGAGAGCCGAGGTCAAGTTAGTATCAGTTGGATTTAAAACTAAGCGCTATAATCATAAAAAGAAGCAGGATTATAACCGAAGAAATTTTTGCTTTTTGCGTTGTTTTTTTCTCACACCGGTTTTTTATTTTGACTCATTCTTTTTTTCCTCAAAACAGGTAGTCCCTCAAATTTACAGCTTTTTTTGCTATTCTTAATATGTTCAGATGATCAAAAAGAATTCGAGTTTTGAGTAGCGGATTTAGGGATTCGACTCCGGACTATTTGAGATTTCCCCAAAATCCAGTTTTGGTGGACCAACCTTAAAACTTTTCTGCATTCTGAAGGCGCTTTTGGAACCAATGTAGATTAAATTTGAGAAAAATTTCCAAAAATAGCTCAAAAAGGTATCTTTTATCTAGTTTCTTCAAACTTTTTGGCGAATTTGAGTCTTTGTAGTGTTTTGAGAACGAAACAAAATCAATTTGAGTAATCTAAGAAAGGTTGAAAAACTTGCTTACTTTTCGAATAAAAAGTTATAGTTGGGATTGTTTGCCAAAACAAAATACAAACATGTAAATCACTATATGAACATACGAGCGTTTGCGTGAAGATAGTAGTTCTGGTAAAAATTTTGTTACCGGAATTTTAAGAAAATTTAGAAGTGTTTTTTTTTCGTTAAAAGACTATTTTGGTTTACTTTGTGTCTGCTTAGTTACCTCATATTACATACAAAAACGTTTTTTTTTTGCTTTCTATTTTGCTAAAACTTACAAAAAAAATTGTAAAAAATAGCAAAATAGCTAGATGATTACCTTTACCAGCTCAGTAGCAAAAAGGGAATTGCGTTTATTGTATTGGTAAAGTGAATCATCGGACTATTTGCTATTTTTTCATTTTTTTTGTGAATTTAAGCAAAATAGAAAGCAAAACAGACCTTTGAAAGTAATATGAGGTAGCTAAGCCGAAACGAAAAAAAAACTTTTCCAAAGTTTCTAACAATTCCGGGAAAATTTTTTTCACCAGGACTACTGTTTTCACGCTAACGCTCTTATATTCAAATAGTTTTTTGTTATTCAAAAACTCAGTAAGAAGCCATCAAGCCGATGCAATTTAGGCCGAAATCATTTAGGCCGGAAAAGTGAAAAGAAAAAAGCCAAAAAAAATGTTCCCAAGAGTTATAATTTAACAGTCTGTGTATTCCAGAGATGTGCAGAAAAATTGCATTTTACGTGAAACGACTCAACACTAGGCCGCTAATTCGATAAATTGCAAGCCGAATTCGAAGTCAAGAAATTAAAACACGGAGGCGAAGCAGAGCTTCGCATCACTTGCAATATCACGAAGCTAACATTGAAAGCTAGCAAACAGGAAAGGAAAAGAGAGCCACCAAGACCAAAGAAAACAGAAAAATTTTTGAAGAAACCACAGATAAAAAACTTCAACTTCAAATCGTTGTCTCTCGAATGATGTTCTATTTGGGGAGCACGAGTCCAGAAACACATTCGACAGCTTTTAATGAAAACTCAAAAACAAGTTAAAAAAAATGTTGTCATGAAAAACTTTAAACTAGAATTTCTATTTTGAGATTTTCAACGTTCTGTATGATCAGGAGGAGATCATAAAAATTATGTTTCCCTCAAACGACCTAAATTAAGTTTTGTAAGCGATAAAAAAATAAGCCGAGATCATTTTGGCCAAAAAAGGCTTCGCGCAAAAACATGTTTTGAGCTGAGTTGCATAATTCTTAGACACAGGGCGAAGCCGAGCTTCGCACTACTTTGAAAAAAACAAGTATAGGATTAAACGAAGATGACGCTAAAGAAGATGCAAAAAGACTTCGAGCGAAGAAAAAATTGAAAATGGAACTAGAAAAAAAAACAAATTTAGAAAAAGAAGCAATCATTTTTGACAATTTAATATATTTTTAAGAGGAGTTGATTTTCAGACACCAAAAGAAAGGAGGCAGAGTTTTATCGATTTTTAAAAAACCAAATATTCGTGGGAAACAAAACAATAGGTGAAAAGCCGACAAACCGAATTAAAACTGATAGCCATAAGCAGAAAATCAACCAAAAAAATGTACTGCTTATATATTGTCCACTAGTGTTTTATGAAAAATAAATGCAAAATTCAACTCGAAAACTGAACCAAATTGTATCAATTTGTCTGGACATTGTATCAATTTGTCTGGAATAAAACTCATTTTAAACAAAATTAGTATGCCAAATAAGACAATTGAACGTTAAATTTGCATCGGAACAAAAATTACGTAGGAATAACAACCAAATAATGCTCAATAATTCAGTGCTCAAAAAATGGCACTAAAAATTTTTTTTTATGAAAGTTTTTTAAAAATTTATTTGTTAACTTTGTATTAAAAAAAATTCCATAAAAAAGCAAAAATTTCCGAAATTTTTTTAAAAATCAATTGCTTTCACTAATGGCCTTCCGAAAATTAGAAGAAAGCTGAATCTTTGAAAATTGTCCGTGGTATGGGAATTAAGTCAAAAAACAAAGAGGCGGACGGTTCCACGAAAAAGCAGAAAATTTCTAATTTGAAAAAAAAACAGGCCCCGGCTGGATTCAAACCACACGCCTTAGTTGTCTTAAGTAATTGTTACCTCCACACCAGATGGGTCGTGTGATTGATTTAATTTAAATTTATTCTAGTAAGCGAACTAAAATGCCGAAAATTTGGTTTAGAAAAAAAAACTTTTAAAAAAATTTTTAAACAAAAGCTGTCAGTTTTTTTTGAATAAGTTTTTATTTGTATTACGGATGGCTTAAGAGGGTAATTTATCCTTTTTGAAAAATTCTTGTTAGATGCCAATCATTATAAAACCAATAATTCAGTAGAAATAAAATGATAGAAAAATAAGCCGACGGAACTAATGCCAAATGACCTCAGTGCCGAAAACCTACCAAAAATTATCAAATATAATAATAAAATTATATCTACTAACTTAAACACAAGGCAAATTTAGTAACCATGCAATTATTAAACCATGCAGTGGTACACTGATCATGCAACGCGAATAAAGGCAAATGCAGTTAACATGCTATTAACTATCCATGCTGTGGTACACTGACCATGCATAAATAACCATCTGCGAATCGTTTAAAGGTGCGCTTTTAAAAGTAAGTTTCAAAAAAATTGACATTGTTCAAAGAAAATTCTGAAAGTTGATTTTTTTTGTGTAATGCTTATTAAAAAATGCCTCAATAATGAAAACTCTCATCATCTTAAAACTGTTTAAAATAACCAGCTGAGAGATTTAAAGCGGAATATTGAAAAAATTTAAAAATTGACTTTTATAATTCAATCTATAATATATTCCAAAAAATAAAACGCTGCTATGTCATGGCATTGCACAATTGAGCGCTTGTCGATAATTGATTTTTGTTATTCGTCACCTAGGAAAACGAGCTTCATTAGTAAATCAGAAAACCAAAAAACGAAGTTGGCAAACTTTTTTTTATCGCTCGATGATTAGATATACATTGGGTGTGGTTATAAAAATAATTATGAAGTTGAACGCGAAAAACAGTAGCTCGACAAAAAATTTGACGACAACTAATCATCCGAAAAGTTTTTAGAGACGTAAAGTGGAGCTTCGCACCGTCTGCGATACAACCAGAACATAAAAAACAAGAAGCCGAAAAAAAAATGAAAAATGTGAAAAGAGAAAAAAATATGTGGAAAACAAAATGTTCATAAATATCGATAAAAGATAACAAGGAGGCCAGCTAAAGCTAGAGGTAACTGTTTGATTTTTTTTGGAGTTTGTTAAACAACTGATGGGCAACAAAATGGGTAATTTCAAAAAATGGACCTTGCCCAGTTTTTTTATTGGACCTTATTTGTTTATCTACAAAAGAAATTGTAGAGGTTAAGAAAAAATTTTACCTGAGATATCACATTTTGCTTAGAAAAAAGTTAAAGAATCGCTGCTTGTGTAGTGAAAAGTGTCGCAAGCGCTTCTTTCGATTGAACCCTTCATCTCAGATTTCATAGGGTAGTTTCTAATAAAAGTCAAAAAACTTTAAAAAATGGTGAACATTTAAGAAACTTAACAATCTGGAATCGATAATTTTCCCAATTAGAAAACCCGATTACTCTATTGAACATTTAACTTAAGAATTGGTAGGGAAAATTACGAATTTGCCCAAAATCTTTGTTATTTTTCTACTAAGTGAGAGAAAAAATTTTTTTTGAGATATTGGAATTTTCTCATACGCTTTTTGTAGCAAATATTACCAGAACCAGCTCTTTTTTATGAACTTTTAGCCAAATTTGGTAAGTTAGTTTATGCGAAAAATCAAAAGGATCCTAAAAAACGGTGAAAAGGAAAACACTTTGACTTATCGAAATCCATAACATTTTTTGCAAAAAAGGATGTGGCCGTTTAAAAAGAGAAGTTTTCCAAAATCGGAATTCTCGATCGAACACTTAATTTAAGATTTAGATGGGTGGTTTTCGAGAAAATTGAAAAAAACTTCAAAAAACTGTTCAAAAACAAAATATTTACTGTTCTGAGGGCAGTATCTTTTGTGTTTAAGATGTTTTTTTTGGTAAAAAACCATTTATGCGGAGATTCACACAACCTGTTGCTTCGATTGAACGTAAGAACTCAAGATATGGGAGGGTAGTTTTCGAGAAAAGATAAAAATTTCCAAAAAAACGGAAATTTGATTTTTCCGAGCGCCATAACTTGTTGTATAAAAAAATTGGGCGTATCCGTTTATGCAGAGAAAATTTTGACAAACTAGTTTATCCAATAAATCAAAAAAACTTAGTTTTGGCAGAGTTTGTTTTGAGAAAACAGAAAAAATCAAAACTTGAGTCACATTTTTTCCCAAAGGTTGAAACAAAAACTCGTGTTTTGAAACTAAAAAAAATAGACGGCTTTAAAGCTAATGGTTGACAAAATTTTGATGAAACTGAACAATTCTGAGAAAACCGTATCATTAAGAAGTTTTTTTATTTCGCTGGAAAATCTGACACAGAGACGAAGCTGAGCTTTGCACCACTTGCTATACAAAACAAGAAAAACAATTAAAAATATAAAAAAGTGAAAACAAATAGATCTATTCAAATGAAATAGGCTAGTTTTGAAACAAAAACATGCCAAGCAGGACAATAAAATGTGTAATTTTAGAAGATAATGTACCCAGCGGTAACAAAGCTAAAAATACTGTGTCAGAAACCCTTTAAGCCGATAAAAATCAACAAGAGTTCGATTTTCTGAAAAGTTAATAAATCCAGCTCACCCTCAAAATATTTATTTGCTCGATAAAAGAAACAAAATGAGGCCACTAAGCCGTTATAAAAAAGGCCGAAAAATATTCAGCCCAAACAAATTTAAAAAGCCGAAAAAAACTCAAAAAATTAAGACACATAGCAAGTTACTAGGACCCCCTCAATCTCAAAACACGAAAAAGCACGCACAAAACTTTTTTTCGCTCGTCGAAAGACGTAATATGCGGCCAATAAGCCAATATATTATACCTATCATATCGAAATAAAAAGAAAAAAAAAAACAAAAAAAGCCGGAAAAAAATTGTTGTTTTGAAAACTTGATCTCTATTCCTATTGAGAATTTTAGCATTATGTGCTGATCAGAGGTGAGCATAAAAAGCATGTTTCCGTAGAAACGACTCAAAATTAGGTCATTAAGTTGATAAGAAATAGGCCAAAATCATTTGGGCAGAGTAGTTTTTAAAAAAAAACTATACGAAGTCAAACTTAGTCAAGATACAAACAACATAGGAAAATCAGAGCACTAAAAGCAACTTAAATGTAAAAAAAAACTAGAAAAAAATCAATAAAACGGCAACTAAGACGACAAAACATAAGCAGACAACAAAAAGCCGACAATGTTTGTTTGCAACGGACTACTTATCGATTGAAAAAAAAAGAGGTCCGGGCAGTTTAGAACCCAGGACCGTTGGCGTCCCAGGAGTATTCGTTACCTCCAGACTAAGCGTGCCAGAATGCATAAAAATTTTAATTCATTATGAATTAAAATAGCAATAATTTCAAGTGATGCTGTTAAACAAGTTGTTAACTCGAAAAAAGTCTATATTCATATTTGATGACAATTGCTAATCGCAAGAGTAATAAATAAATTCCATTTTCGAAATTTCAATTCAATCAGGTCTACCGTGATTTTTACAACTTTGCAGTTCGGTATCGATGTTTGCCCTCATTTTAAGAAAGGAAATGAATTGAACTTAAAAAAAAATCAATAGTCGCAGCGCTAAAAATTACGTTTGAGTCTGAATAAAAATCCTGAGTTTTCCAGAGTTTTACTGAAACAAAACGAAAAAAAAAATTACGATCTAATTAAGAGTCCAAACTACGTTCATCGACTCTTAAAAATGAATAGGTAATTTTTTCTGCTTGAAACTTTAAATCCAATTTCGAAACGAGAAGACAGTCATGTTTTTATGACTTTTTCTGCTGGAAACTTGAAATTGAAATCCACTTTCGAAACCAGAAGACAGTAATGTTTTTGTGACTTTTTTGTGTTGCCCAATAGCGGAGTTTATCTTACTTAAACAAAGGAAATGAGCTGAACTGTAAAAAATAACAAAATTCGGACCGCGAAAAAAAAAATTGAGCCTGAACAATTTTTAAGAACTTTTCATTTAGAAAAGCAAACAAAACAATACCCGATACCTATAAGAGAGCATTCACTACATTCAAGACTCTTAAAGACACCAGTTCACAATTTAAAACAAATTGAACAACTCAAAGTAATAATTTTCCTGTGGGCAATGTGACCCTATATTATCTATATTATTTAATGTACAAAATTAAAAAATTGCGCTTGTTAGTTGATTTTTTTCAGGAATTGAACAGCCATCGTTCATCTTTTAAGGTCTATTAACACGTCTCTTGACAACTTCAAACACTAGCCACCAAAAAAGCGGATAAAACGTTTGCCAGTGACTTCCTATGCTGTGCAGCAAAATGCCACAAACAGTGAGCCCTTATTTCTGCGAGCGAAAAAAAATCTAACAAAAAAAATATTTTATATAAGGTAAATTGAAAAAACGGAGTTACTTAGGTTTGCAATCAATATCGCAAGCAAATTTTGAATAGAGCGGGTATTTGGGTTTAGGTTTATTTCCGAATACTGACAGTGGGGAGGAACTTCGTACTGGGGTGTTTAATTTATTTTTTGACTTTTTTCCCGCAGAAAATCACGTACATCAAGTGAAATTCAATTTTAAAGCCTTTGCAGCCGTGATTCAAACCCTGTTTAACAACCTTAGAGAAAATTCCAGTGTAGATTAAAAACCGGTTTAAGAGTTTTGATTTGTGGTCGAAAGTCGAGCGACTAAAGTTGGGGCGAATACAGCGAGGAAATTTTTATTTACGAGAAAATTAATTTTTGAAGCTTTTTTAGCTAATTATTCAGAACATTCTTTGAAAAATCGAAGTTCTTTTTTTGTTAAGTTGTTGATAAAAAACTGTTGGCAAATATGATTATTTTACTTCTATTCTCGAAAGTACCTCTTTGCTACGCTTTTGTTCTGATGCTCTCAGAGCCAAACGAACAAAAAACTCCATTTGCAAAGATATATATTTTATTTTCTGTATTTTGTGGTCGTCTGTTTGTGCTACTTGCACATCAACCGGCTATCCCTGTTCAAATATGTCATTTGGTGGACAGGTCTGTTTGAGCACAACGCCATGCCTCCGATGAGCCCAGTGAACTTAATTCTTTATCGGAACAAGTCTAGTGCCCGATTCCAATAGCTCTCGGAAGCGTAAAAAACACATCCAAGCAACGTAGAAAGTTTAGCAGTAATTAAGTCAGGCAGTTAATCTATTTAGATTTCAAATTCTTGAGCCAATTTATCGTTTTTTGGGTTCAAAATGGAGCTTTATTAACGAATATTTGCATTATTACTTTACTTACTTGACTAAAACTGCGCCGGTGCAAAAGTGAGTTTTTACTTGCTGTAATGAGTAAAAGAGATGAACAGAGTAACTTTACGTAGAGCGTTCTCGCTGTAATTGTGTTCGCCGCTCTTGAATTATACTGATCTAATAAGCTTTTTCATCACTGCTTTGATGGTGTTTTCATATTTTTATGTTCGCTTTCTAGTCTCATTACGATGTGGCACCTTCATCCTCGAATGAAAAACTTCAAATGTCATGAGTAATTATATTGCACCCTTTATCTTCAAAAACAAATTATGGAACACTCATTCAAAGAGAATTTTTAACGATTAGAATCAGTTTATGCTAAAATTGCTCAATTCTAAAACATACTGCAAACGAAAATTGTATTCCAGCAGAACTTTTCGACAATAAATAATTGAACTAATCTATTATTTCATTTGACCGTTTTTATAAAGAGAAAAATTATTGCAAAACTAAAGCGGCAATCAAACCTTTGACAAAAGAAAGTTTGTGATGCCTCTACGAGGCAAAAATTTCACGAAAACTGCATAATTAGAATTTGATTTAGCAATTAATACTTTTTCTTCCAGTTCAACTTTAAGTAGAAAAGCACCCTCAAAATTGAAATTCATAATTTACTGCCTGTTTCGAATATATAAATTAAAACTAAACATTCCATGTTCTAGAAACGAACCAAAGTACAAATATTCTCTACAAAAGTGACCTTATAATAATGTAAGTTCAGAGTTATTAACTAGTTTGACTGTATTGCACTGACCCTGAAGTCTGTAATAAATTAAGCTGTTAGTTAGTAGGGAGCGAATCTCCGAATGCTTCTTGAAAGCTGCTGTTGCTGTGAGCCTCCGTTCGGAACATTCTGAAACAAATGAAAAATAGGACCAATAGAAGACCGTTCAAGTTATATAATTAAAACCGTTCAAGAAGCCTGTTATTAATTACAGAAAAATTCCATACGTATTTTCAATTTTCATTAGGAACATACCAAATTCAAATCCACGTTTGAAATGAAATAAAAAAAACTCCGCCAACGATTTCATTGCTTGAAGTAGCTTTTCAAGTTTTTGATTCATCGTTCTGATAATCAAAAGATATCAGCCAATTAGAAGGTATAAACTCCAGAAAAATTACCACTGCGTTTCTCTGTGCATTCGCGGCTGCCCTGTTAGCTAGGAAACTTGCGCCAGGCCCACTACTTGCATCGCCAGCCGCCAACCTCTGAATGTCTTGGACGGAAGCTCCGCCTCCTTGCAAATTGGGGACACCTGCCGATACTTTATTCATCAGTGCCATCAGACATGCATTGAGGTTATTGTTGTTGTTGTTAACCAAGTTAGGGTTATTCTGGTTCGCATTTTGGGACGATGTGTTCCCGCCGCTACCTGGTAGGGACGTTGGGTTCATTGCAGCGCCTGGTGATTCTGCATTCTGATTGGATCTGTCGGCGTGGCTTGATGTCTGATGATTGGAGGATAGATTGCTGTTGGGGGTGTGGGTGTTGTTGTTTACACTTGCAGACGACATTGATGCCATCAATGTGGAAAGAGAGATTCCAGTTGCGAGGGATAGAAGAGAAAGTTGTTGTTGGTTCATAGAACCGTTGTTGGCTCTGAAAGACAAAACAACAGTTGATTAATTACGAAAGCCACCGAAAATCGAGACCCTTTAATTGAAAGCCGCCGAAAATCTATCAAAATTTTGAGGCTTTTTTTTTGAATTTCAAGATCTCGGATACTGCGCCAGCCCCGCCAATGTTCAAGTATTAGAGTTTGGATTATCCGCCCCCCCCCCCCCCAAACAAAAAAGAAACAAGGCTTTGCTCTGGAATACGCCGCAATAATTTAGACTCATCATAGTTTCATGGACAGAACAGTTCTATCCTATTCATAACTTCATAACTCACCCCAATATTAGTTGAATCAGATTCGCTTTTTGCATGCTTGTCAATCCGGCCAAGTTGGATGAGTTGCCGTCTTGGTTCAGAGCACTTAGCTGTTGCAGAAGCAGCTCGTTTACATTATTCGATCCAGACACTGGAATTTGGTGCTGCTGCTGATTCGACTGTTGACTTGATTGCTGTTGATTGCTCATAAGCATCTGTGCTTGTGCCAGGACAGAATTATTCTCGCTGTTCCAGTTTTCCATAACCGACGAACTGTTGGCTAAGGAGGTCACAACTTGGGGTCCATTTTGAGCTGCGTGTTGCTGTTGCAGAAGTGCGTAAAGATCCTTCAGTTGCGGGTTGTTCTGTTGACTCAATTGAGAGCTGACCGAAGAAACACTTCTGTTTAATCTCCTGCATCATAAAAACAAAATATAATCAAGATAAAAATAAGGACAAGAGAACTGTAAAACATTACTTTACCAAACAAACCGAAAGCAAAAAGGAGCCTCGATATTCACAAAGTTGAAGCAACTTTTAGCAATCCTTTGTGAAAACTAAGACAGAAATATGACACGTAGATTAAGATGAACAATTAAATATCCGAAACATAGCAAGAAAACTACGAAGGAAACGCTGAAAAAGTTAGAATTTTTTCCTCACACGCAAGCTTGTGAACAGAACAATCAATATTTACCATAAGAGGCAAATCAGCCGATACAAGCATCAAAGATCTATTAAGCCCAACAGATATTTTCATCTACATCACAAACTTCAGACATTTGAAATTCGATTTATTGATTGCGACGGAATAATCCTCTGAGTATAAAACAAGAAAACAAAGCCAACAGACGCTTGAGAAAATGTCAATGAATTCAGGGAGGCCGAAACAAAAAAATGATATTTTCAATATTTCGAAAAAAGTACATCAAGTTAAGGTTCTTTTCAATTTAAGAACCTATTGTGATTGAGACTTGTTTTCAAAAAAAATTTACCCAAAACTGGGTCAATAGTAATTTTTCATGTCACCGGGAAATCTAAAAAAAAGAGTAAATTGTTGAAAAAAAAAACTAGGCGAACCAACATTTTTGTATGTCTCGATAAAAAACAACAGAACTGCCCACCTAAAGCTGGGCTCACGTGTTTGATATTGCATGATTTTGCTATGCTGATTAAGCACGAAAAAAAAAAATGATTTCAAAAATTGGAATTTGCCCAAAAATTCAATTGCTTCTACCAAAATAAGTGAGAAGAGCAAACAAAATTAGAGATCATCAATTTTCCCAAGGAGATAAAATTTCTCTTACAAAAAATAAGGAGTAGCCGCTTCGGCAGGAACCATTACCGCAACCGGTGTTTTTTACGTGTCGGATTCGAACATGTGACCTAGCAAATTTGAGTCTCACACTAACCACTCAGCAACGGATGCTTAAAATCCCCAAGACTTGCCACCAAAAACGAAGCTACATATGCTAATAAAATAGCCAATTCGATGCAGCAAAAGTAGCACCAAATAAAAAATGACCCAATTTTGTAAGTAATAATTTGGAATATAACAAACTGAAGGCATCCACAGTAACTTTTCATCTAACAAATCATCGGAAAGCATATAACCACATTGTATAAATTATGCATTTCAAACAATTGCGAGATATCTTCAGTTAGAAAATTTCTGAAATTGAGTTTTAATTGTAGTTATGTTTTTTGAATTAAATAGCTTTTTTCGGTTCTTTTGACGCATTAACTTATTACTATTCGAATGTCAAAGCACATTCTATCAAAACGCAGTAAAGATGCCCCAAAAGTAATACTAACATTTGCAACTTAGGTTGGAAAAAAAAGAAAGTTCGTACTAATATACTGCTGTCTAAAAACGGTCAATAGTTCTCAAAAACTATCAAAAGATTTCCAAAATCCATAACTTTTCTTCGCAAGAAAACAAGTTGTGGCCGCTTAAGCAGAGAAGATTTTCAAAACCTGGTTTCTCGATTGAACACAACCTGAGAATTGGAACGGTAGTTTTCACGTAAAGTCAAAAAGGTACTGACAAAGTTTCAAAACTTTGAATTGTTTGAGGCCATAAGTTTTTCTTAAACCAACTGGGCATAGCCAATTATAAAGGTAGGCTTTCAACAACCTATTGCTGCAATTGAACCTATGATATCAGATTTGGTAGGATAGCTAGCGAGAAAAGAACCTAGCGAGAAAAGAAGCTTTTTGTGAGAAAAAAACAGGCAGAAATTTTAAATAGGCCGAGGGCCATAACTAACTTAAGGAGTCAAAAAAAAATTGGGAAATTCGCATAAGCAAATGAGCTTCCAACAACCTGTTCCTTGACTTGAGCGCAAACTCTCAGATATGGCAGGGTCGTTTTCGAGAATATTCAATAAGTTTTGAAAAAACGGTTAAAAAATCAAAAAACTAAATAAAATTACTTCAGCCGGCAGAGCGAATATGTCAATACTTGGTCGGTTCATTCGAAAGAGCAATTAAGAAACAACTACCACAGAAATTGAAACGAGCTCTTGCTCATTGAAAAAAAACCAGAACCAAAAAGCCACCTAGGGTGCTGATACGAACGAAAACAAAGAAGAATTAGTTTAGTTTTTTGCGGACCGTAATCATCTGCTTCAGATAAATCAAGATAAAAACCACTGTTCCGTCGTGAATTTTTAATTTTTGAAAGACCTTGACTATTTCCCACAATAGCTCAAAACATTCATGTAGAGTCCAAACCAGACGCCAGGTGGGAAGAATTGATATATGTTTTCCTTTCAGTTTAATAGTTTCTCTTTACTTACATATTTTGACTATCCATCAAGCTAGACCTCTGCTGCCCTGCTAGTGCACTGAGTCCCAAGGCATTTGCTGCTTCGACGTTACTCAGCACTCCTCCCCCTCCCAATGCATTCAGTAGCATAGGGTGGTTTCCATTGAGCTGCCCGGTGGCCGCATTCGCACCCAGAAGACTCTGAAGATCCAGTTGGCCCGCAGATGAGCTGCTCACTTGTGCTGCAGCAGTGTTGGCGAACAGAGGGTTGCCAGCTAGGAGACTGGCTGCTTGGTTTGGGGTCATAGTCGCAGCCGCCGAAATCAAGCTAAGCAAACCAAAATTTAAACTAAGCATGCATCATTCGTCGTTTGAGTTATGAAATCATAATATCATTATTCAACCACTGACAAATTTCCCCTTCGCGTAATGAAAAAAAAAATAAATTATGGCTGATAAAAGATTACAAAAGCTGTATTCAACGTCGCATAAAATCAATTCTATTCAACTGATGCTTAACCCACTCATTACTGACATAACATTCGAACACAGGCGAAGCTGCGCTTCGCAAACACAAGAGAGGAAAATGGAAAAAAGCTCTAAACAGGCAAAACTAAGTGAAAAAAGGAACAGATTAAAAATGCACCTTGAAAAAAAAATTATGACTAGGCGAATCATGTTCTCATATCTGCTCCACGACCGCTTGTAATTTTACTAACACTAGCCACCAATAAAGCAGCTACAGTTTATCAAATTGCCAATACTTTGCAGCAAAAATTCGACCGAAAAAAAAAAACAAAACTATTTCAATTTTCCCCATTTGAACCTCCGACCTGTTGACTAGGAGTATCACTTCCTCGCATCTGCGCCACGGTCGCTTGGAAGTAAAGTAGTGACCCAGCTAAGGCTGGATCCACCTGTTTTTATTACTTTTAATTGAATATTGTACTGATACGGAACTGAAAAGTTTTCGAAAAAAATCGCAAAACCCTAGTGATTTCTCTACTAAGTAGGAGATTAGCCGTTTATTTAAAGGAAAAACTACTACTCGCTCTTTTAATTGAAGTCTTCATCTCAGATTTGGCTATGCAGTTTTCGAAAAAAGTGAAAAAGTTTCCAAAAAATATTGACTTTTCCTAAATCCATAGACTTTTCTCTGCTAAAGCAGGGAAAAAGCCTCTTATGTAGGGAAGCCGATTACACCCTGGTTTTTAGATGGAAACCATGATGTCAGATTTAGTAAGTAGTTTTCGAGAATAATGATGAAAGTTCTTCGAACAAACGGTAAACATTTCAAACAATGGATTTTTCCATATCAGCTTTTCTACAAAAACAGGGTAAAAAAGACTGCGCAGGGAAAATCTAAGCACCATTTTAATTTTAATGAACTATCAACCTCAGAATCAGCAGGTTAGTTTAAGAAAGAAAAAGAATTCTTTCCAAAAATAAACGAACAAAATTTAAAAAATTGGAGATCTTCTGAGGCCATAGTTTGTTCAAAACGCAGCGCATAGCCTCTGGCGCAGGTAAGATTAGCATAACTGACTTTTTCTTTCGTTTAAACCCGTAATCTCTGATTTGGCAAGGTAGTTTTTGAGAAAAGTCAATCAGTTTTAAACATTAACCAAAATGTCAAAAAATGGGCTTGTTTGATGTCATAACAATTTTCTACCGAATCTAAGGAATAGCCGCCTGAGAAGGAGAGATCTTCATAATTTGTTCTTTTGATTGAAACCTACATCTCAGATTTGCGCATTTAATATTGCAAAAATTCAAAATAAATAGGCCAGAAATACGCCTACTGAAAGTCTCGAAGGCCGTAGAACGTGAGGTAAAATGGAAATATGCAGGCAGATAGAAGAGCAGCCAGTTTTTCCATTGGTACCATTTTATTTGGAAAATCGATACAGTAGTTTTTGAGAAAATATGAAATATCTGCCTTAAGTGCAAAAATTTTAACAAAGCGTCGCAAGAAAAAAAACGAAAAACAACAAATCACATACATTTTCATGACACATGTTTTTTTTTCAGACAGAACTTAAGCCAAAAATAACGCAGCAACAAATGACATTAAGTTGTCTATGCTTAAATAAGGTTCAATTGAAATATACCAAAAGTGCCACCAAATGAGAAATTATATTTTCGACTTAGGTTAGAAAACAATTCTTCGTAATAAAACAAAACACTTCGTTGTTTAAATGTGAAAATGGAATAAATGAAATCAACAAAAACTGTTCCGATAAAACAGTAAGACTTTTTATACTCCAATATACAAATCATACGTAGGTCCATCCCCATCACCAACCCATCTTTGCAATATAATACAACTCCTCAGTAAACTTCAACAGAGTATCCGCTTGCTAAGCACATACTTTATCTTTGCGGTTCGATAGCAGAATTTTCCTCAATTTTAACAAAAGAAATGAACTGAATTTGACAAAAAACAAAAGTGGAACTTTTTACTGAAAAAAAAAATTAAATCACCAAGACCGTTATAAGAGTCTTCACTACGTTCAATGACACTTTAACATCCTCTAAAAGCAAATACAAGGCACCATTGAAGGCGTTTAATTGAACGGATAAAACACGTGGCTGTTAAATACAGATGTACGGAAGTAAACACTGAAGTTGGACACAAATTTGAGCGAGTTAAATTAGAAAAAACGTGTATTACACAGAGGCGAAGCTGTGCTTCGCAAACACTAGCGATAACACGAGGAAGCATCTTTGTAAAGTGAAATAAACAATAGAAATAAGCCTCGAATTAACAAAAAAAGCTACGTACTGGCTTCGAGCCTGCGACCTAGAGAATTAGCGTCTCATGCCCTGCCCTCTCGCCCACGAACGCTTAACAATCATCAAACACAAGTCACAAAAAGCAGCTACGTATGCTAATAAATTGCCAATGCCATGCAGCAAAAGTGGCACCAAATACAAATAGACCCAATTTTGCAAGTAATAATTTGAATCAGGGGCGGATCTAGAATTTCCTTTTTTTAGGTCGACCAAACTGATTTTCTGAGCTCTCCCAAATCACTATAAATACCCCATTTTGACCAAAATTTCTGCGTTCTTAGGAACTTTTTGAAAAATTTTGATCGAAAAATCACGTTTTTTTGGCGCATGCTCCCCCTCAAAAATTAGTATATATTTGCACCGAAGGCACCTTTAGAAAAATTTAAGGGTACCTCACCAAAAATAGATATCTCAAAATAGTACAAAGGGGGTCGGATCCCTGAGAGAGGGGGGGGGGGCGTCCACCCCACCCCCCTTAAATCCGCTACTGATTTGAAATATAGTTAACTGAAGGCATCCACACTAGTGTTGCATGTAATAAATCGGACAGCATAAAGCCGCATTATGTATAAATTATGCATTTCAAAAATCAATTTTTTTTATTGTTATGTTGTTTGAAACAAATAGCTATTTTCGATTCGTTTGATGAATTAACTTATGAGTTTGATAACTTATTACTGTTCGAATTTCAAATCACATGCTATCAAAAAGCAGTAAAGATGCCCCAAAATTGGCCCCAGTATTTGTGACTTAGGTTAGAAAAAAAGAATAGTAGTACTATAACACTAACGTTCACTTATGTTCGCTAGTGCAATAACACAATCGTCACCTTCTCTAAATACGGGTGAAAATGGGTGGCATGAAAAAGTAAAATCTATTTATCGGACGATCGATTTTTAAGCAAACTAATTTGAGTGCAATTGGTCTAAATATTCAAAAGCTTGAAACATTGACTAATGGTCCAAACCAATGATACAAACCCTGTTAACGGAGACGAAATAGCATTTCGCAAACAAACTAGAAAAACAAGCTGCAATGATGAAGAAAACACAAAAAAATGCCGGGAAAGAAATAAACGTGCAAAAGTTCGACCTGAAAAAAAAAATTGGCTTCGTATCGTAACATCACACTCATCTTTGTTCACACTCATCTTTGTTAACTTTTCGATCCACAAGTTTTTTTCGTGATCACAATTCCGGACCATCCTGGAATTCCAGCACCAGTAATGCCATTACAGCAAGAACCAGTAATGACATTATTCCAGTGTATGATGACTCCGCATGTATGATGATGATCGAATGGTAATTGAAAGTCGATTTGAAAATGAATGACTTTGGATACTCACGGATTAAAATTGAGAGCCTGTCCTATTTGCTGATTAGCGAACGGATTCATCCCGAAGGGATTAGCTCCTCCGGCCTGGCTCTGCTGCAGCTGACTAAGTAGAGACTGAAGAGACGCGTTGTTAGCTCCAGTTGCGCCTCCAAAAAGGGGCCCCACATTCCGAAGAGCACTTTGGCCTGCGTTGAGTGCCGGTTGGAACTTCGAGAAAGCGGCAGCAGCAGCGGCGGCCGATCCTCCCATCATCGACTGGGCAATAAGAGGCGTCATGGCAGCTAAAAACAATTCCTGTTTTTCACAATCAAAAAAAATATCACAACCAGTACTGATTCAAAATTACAACGACTGTAATAAAGATCATAAGCGATTGTAGATTTCATTTACTTGAACAGCGCAGAATATACATTCTGCGCTCTTGAATAACTTTCAAATATTCATGCTTTTAAAATGTATCTGAAACCAGCATGCACACATTAATTAAAACTTGAGGCTAATCGAGACAAGAACTAGCAGGTAGAAATAAAAAAAAAACACATTGGGATAATTTGAGAGGACGTGAACTAACTGTTGTTCAACAGGTGGTTCGTATTCATGAATGGAGAAACACTTGGCGGCTCTTTCTTCCGAGGTACCACTCGCGGGGTGGCATTGTTCACCTGCAAACAGTTTTAAAATGAACAACGGGCGATCTAGTATAACAAAAACGTAACATAAGCATCCGAAAGTATTTCGACTTGACAAAGAAATTTTCATGTGCTGCAAGTTCAGATTGTTCTTAATTGAAAAATAACTGAGTGAAAAACTGCAGAAAAAAAGTTAAGAAAATTGTATATTCGTTTTCGATTTATTTTGTCTGTCTAACATTGAAATTTATTCAAAAACCTGCAATTAAAAATTATTTCTAGCAGCGAATGAAAATTTTTTGCTGCGCATTCTATCAAGCTGTAATCCCAGGTTAGCTTTTCAAATACTTACTTTTGGCAATTCAAAACTTTTTAGATTATATTTTCTCAATTTACAATTTCAACTTGTATGGAGTAACATTAGATAAACTTGATAAAATGCCCAGCTGAACTTGAATTAATGACTCTGGTCAATTTTTTTGACACTGACGAGGCCAGTTGTTGTCCTCATGCTCGCATGCACTGAAATCAAAATAATAATTTCGCGGGTATGTTAAGCGAAAATACACTAACTGTCTATTTACTCAGTTGTGATTAAACACAATTTCAACAATGATTTTCATTAGCTTCTGAGTTTCAAACATCTAAAATGTCATGCAAATTTCATGTTTTTTTGTCAAAAATCGATTGCATTTTCCGCCCAACTGAATGACTTGTTTCCAAGAAAAAAGACTGCACTGCAAAATCTTTTTCCATTCAAACTAACTTAGTGAACATTGATGAGGATTGCGTCAAACCACTTCATAAACCATTTCGAACCACTTTCTGTCGGTTATATCTTATTTTGCAGACTGATAACAGGAAAACAAACCATCCGGTCGGCAAGGTTCTAGAACATTCTAGAATAGTGCTGGTCAGTATTACTAATTAGCAAGCAAGTGAAATCTTTTTGGATACGTAAGCGAAGTGTTTAGCAGTCGAATGAATTGAATTGAACAAACCACACACCTCTATTTTGCGTCCCTCGATTGACGTGCCATGCAACGTTTCCCGTGCTTTCTCCGCGTCAGCACTACTTATGAAAGTAACAAACCCAAACCCCTAAATAGAACAAAACAACACTAACCATCATTATCAGCATCATCATCAGGTGAACTCATCAAAACCTTCAACCTTCTTTTTATTGCTGTTTTAATTAGATTTGTGGGCTCAGTTTGAATCGCATTGGACTGGGTTAAGGTGGCATAACATGTAAATGAGCATCAATCAAGCTTTCTATGCCTTCCAAAGCTTGCTTCCAGATATTGGTTTATTTCACCTCTTGCTGATTAATAATTTTTTATTGTAGTTTATTTTGGACCGAAGGAAATTCGTTCTCACTTGGTGTTCATATCTTATATACTACGAACCATGTTTTCGATATCTGTTTCAGTGCATAGACATCTGCGTTCCGGACGTAAAGTTAAAAACTCCCAAGGCAATTGTGTTCAAGACAAAACCAAATCTAATTATCCAATTTTATTTGAATTTAAGTTATGTATACTTGCTGAAGCCCTTTTAGCAAGTGCGAGATACTATTTTTTTGGGACATATATGTTCGAAAACAATATTTTTTTTGCATCAAAACTATTAATTCTGTTTTACAAGAGGTTGTTTTTAGCAAGAGGTGGATGCGCAACCAAGCTGAGCCATTACATGAGTGCTATAGATTTACATGGGCTATCCTGAAGACAGAAGGACCGAAGGCGCGAAAGTTTTCAGCCGTTCAACTCCCTCTAAACTGGCAAAAATTGACTTAATTTCCAGGCGATTTATTTCGTCTTTTTGGATACTGATTTCTGATTGGCTAACATTATTTCGTGCTTTCGGTTCTTCCAGCCTCAGAGAATTGCCGTATATCAACACTCGTCTTTTGGCCTGTTGGATGCAATTGTAGATCTATCTTCGGTTTTGAGTAGGGTTGGATTGATTTTGTCAGCACTGAAAACTTCAAGGAAGTAATTAAGTGAAAAGAAATCGATGTTGCACATGCAGAAAATATAGGGTGCCCGAAACTCACACTGCGGAGAAATCAGATCCATTTTACTCCTATTTTGATTACTGTCAAGTAATATCTCACAATTGCTAATAATAATTTATCATAATCTTAACCTGAATGTTATTGAAAATAACTTCAATTTTTTCGAGTAATATCTCACAATTGCTAATAATAATTTATCATAATCTTAACCTGAATGTTATTGAAAATAACTTCAATTTTTTTCAATTTTTTCGAGTAATATCTCACAATTGCTAATAATAATTTATCATAATCTTAACCTGAATGTTATTGAAAACAACTTCATTTTTTTCAATTTTTTCGAGTAATATCTCACAATTGCTAATAATAATTTATCATAATCTTAACCTGAATGTTATTGAAAATAACTTCAATTTTTTTCAATTTTTTCGAGTAATATCTCACAATTGCTAATAATAATTTATCATAATCTTAACCTGAATGTTATTGAAAACAACTTCATTTTTTTCAATTTTTTCGAGTAATATCTCACAATTGCTAATAATAATTTATCATAATCTTAACCTGAATGTTATTGAAAAAAACTTCATTTTTTTCAATTTTTTCGAGTAATATCTCACAATTGCTAATAATAATTTATAATAATCTTAACCTGAATGTTATTGAAAATAACTTCAATTTTTTTCAATTTTTTCGAGTAATATCTCACAATTGCTAATAATAATTTATAATAATCTTAACCTGAATGTTATTGAAAATGTCTTCCAATTTTTTTTTTCAATTTTTTTCGAGTAATATCTCATTGAAAATAATTTCATTTTTTTTTTCAATTTTTTCGAGTAATATCTCACAATTGCTAATAATAATTTATAATAATCTTAACCTGAATGTTATTGAAAATGTCTTCCAATTATTTTTCAACAAAAATGTTCATAATCCAACAACGGAAGGACAGGAGGTACTTCGTAGGTACAATTTTTTACACGAAAAACCGGGCATCGCGAACGAACGTTAAGCGATGTTAGGGAGTACAGTACTGATTTATATTATCCGGACAAACCTTGAATTTTCAAACTCGTTTTTCTCAAATTGGTATGATTAGACAAAAAGTAAAGAGAACAAAAATTGCTTAGAATTTCATCAATTAATATGGTGCAACTTTTTCTCCGAAACTCTAAACCAAAATTTTAACCCAAAAATGGGTCATTTTGACTTTTTTCAATTAGTCAAGAATTACGCTGAAACTACTTTGTTAATTGATAAGAAAATTATATCACAAGAAGCCTCTTACACAGCCCAACAAAGTTTTAGAACGTTTTAATCTCCAAAAATTTGAGTAAATTTGTTTTTAAACAGAGGTTCTGGGTTTTATATAGTAAAAAGCACATTTATTTACTATCAAGTAATTTTTTTTCTCTTATATTAGTGTTTGGATATTTAACCCTTCTTAAACTTTGTTGGGCTGTGTCCTGATATAATTTTCTTATCAATTAACAAAGTAGTTTCAGCGTAATTCTTGATTGATTAAAAAAGCCAAAATGACCCATTTTTGGGGTAAAATTTTGGTTTAGAGTTTTGGAGAAAAAAATGCACCATATTAATTCTGATGAAATTCTAAGCAACTTTTGTTCTCTTCACTTTTTGTCTAATCATACCAAATTGAGAAAAACGCGTTTGAAAATTCAAGTTTTGTTCGTTTTGTCCCGTCAATTTAAATCAGCACTGTATCATATCGTAGCATTTTCAGCAGAGAGTCGAGCTGAAATAATATATTACCATTTTCGGTTTTGAAAAAACGAACGAGCAAAAAGTCGATAAAACTGAGATACAACATTTAAAAAAAAGCAGCTGAAAAAGTCCGACGGCAAACTCATAGGAAAGCTAACATAGTTTGCCAAAATAAGATTCTTTCAAAATGAGTCTTGACTTCTCCACAATTTGATTTTCAAAACCCATTAGAAAACGTTTACAGTAAAACTCGCTCTATCAATATTTGTTCAAAATGAAACCGTAGCGATTCAAAGCTTTCTCAATCGTTCACATCAAAATTGTTAGGAATTGATATTTTTATTCATCAAACCAAAACGCGTTTAAAAACTAATATAGACTGCAGTCGATTGATGTACACAAAGCGGGGACCGGCCCATTAGCATGTGTCTCGATTAGCATGGCCATGTTACGTAATTCTTATGCAATGTCAAGGTCTTTTCTCAAACTTGTTTCGAATAGCGCGCGCACCACCGAATTTTTGGTATGATGAAAGAGACATTTAAACTTCCTTAAAAAATCAAGTGATTTGGGAAATAAATTGAACATTTAGGCTAAATTACTTTTCGTCTGAATGCATACCTAATTATTATCGCATGCTAATAGACACGCATGCTTACCGCTACGCCCCCACGCAAAGCTGCCTATGTTATTGAATTTAACTGAAATGTCTCACGCATGACAGTTATAATTTGTACATGAATGGCTAATATGCGCGGCATTAGAATATCATTTAGGTGCGACGATACTTGTTCGAGATGTGGCTAGGAGCCAGCAGCAGGGTAGTGGTGGCTTCGCAATCATCCTCAAGGCCAGTTACAGCACTACTAACTAGCACTAAAAATGTCAATAACTAATAAACACAGATGGTGAGAGCTAGGTACAAGTATGATAGATGGGCCCAAGTTTAACAAACAACATCATCAAATTTGGGCAGCAATTTCCAAGAAGGATCAACACACTCAAAAGTACTCTCAAATACGCATGCTGCTGCTATTAATTTCGATGCTCCTAACTGTTTTTTGGGGACCCAAACTATCAAACATGTTCCAAGAAAAACGCCTTTTCATAAGCAGTTCTGGGTTTTGCGTTTCATTTTGAGACTGGTTATTTTACATCAATGTCAAAACTTGGTATATGCCAGTATTAATGCTAACCAATTCATATGTCTATGTCATCGTTGAAAAACTAAATATTAGGTCTGCAAAATATAACTCCTCTTCGTCGTCAGTGAACTTTGGAAATAAAACGTTTAGTAGAGTAAGGTCTAACTAAGATTGGTGGGTGGTGGTTGCTTGAACAGCGATACAATAACACGAAGAGCCCAAGTGTCACCACAACAAGTCAATCGGGTCAAATTGTTACTTCATAATGATCATATATACGCTCACAATTCATTTCAAACAGAGTTGCTGGAACAAGTGAAAAAATGACTAAAGCCAGTTGCTCATCCATACCAATACGAATACCATTACCAATGCCAATACACGGGGTGCAACTCAACTATTATGAATGAGAGATTAGGTAGCCATTATACAAAACTCAGACCTTAAAGGGTCCTTCTATCACTACGCCAAGTTCAGAGAGGCCAAACAAACATCAGACAGAAAATACATAAAAATCGAAAACACCGTTTAGCTTGATGGATCAGATTCAATACAAATCCCTCAAGAACGGTAACGTATTTTAATGTCTTGTGACTACCTTTGCCAGTTTTGATAACTCCCTTAATTTTTTATAACTCCATCTGCTCCGATAAGAAAAGACACGTTAAATAACTTGACCTGCAAAAACTGATTTTTTATTTATTCCAACTAAGTGTCAATCAAAATGAATTAATAATGAAAATCCTGTTTGGGCCACTCTGATGACTTGAATGCGATTTTTTTCTAAGTAGTAGTAGTAAAAATGGCAATGCAAATCATCGCAATACAAGTCAGCTGATGGAGCAAAAGAGTAACTGGAGGAAAAGGAAAACGAAACAAGACGACAAGGGCCAATGGCGCAGCAGAACAGCAATGGCTAAGCATTCATCACCTCAAAATCCATTATTACCATCCACATTTTCCAAATATCCTCGTTTCTTCTCTCTTCTCGCTCGCTTCTTCAGTTGTTCAGTTGCTGTTTGTCGTGTCCGAATGATTGACAAGTCTACGGCCATTATTTGTCAGTGCTGGTCAAAAGAAGCTACCAGATCTCGAAAGCTCAACATCTTCCCATCCAGTTTTCAACATCCCCGAGTTATAGCTTGCCTGTAACTACTGAAAATGTCCAAATAAATTATTGTTATAATAATTTCCATGAAATTAATGAAAACACATCAGCATGTTTTAAGTATATATTTATTAACTGCCTATGCAACGTCGATTTCTAGTCAGATTTTAAAAATATTTTTGACAACTTGAACTCAATGACTGCCTGTAATCCGTATACTATCCTAACTTATGCCTACTCAATGTTAAACCCAATCAAATTTAAATCAATATTCAGTTTTTACCGGTATACAACAGTCATTTGAACTAGTTGGTCGCATCAAAATTGTACAATACCTTGCTACCCCTTTCGTTGAAGATGATCTCAATATCTGTGACGGGTCCAAATTTCTAAACAAAACATAGCAAATTAGATTCTAATAGAAATATTCCACAGAGAAAAGTACAAGCAGCATCAACTAACTTGGTGCTGCTTTGAACAAAAAACTATACATTTTTGTGAAACGCTTGCTAATCGCATGTGTGAACTTGAAATCGTATGAAGAAATCTGGCTGAAATAAACGATTGTCATTGAAATTGTTAACTGCTCTCAGCTCAGCTTAAACAAAAGTCAACAAATATCTTAACTTTAAGAGCTCAGAATAAATGAAATTTGAGCTTAGTTCATTATCATACAACGAGAATAGCCAGCCACTTTTCAGAGCCATTTTTTGCAATACTAAAGCTTTTTTCCAGGGATAAAAAAACCATTTTATTGCCTTTCACGTTCTTTGCTCGCTTTAATCGCTCCAAGATAGATGTCTTACAAAGAGGCGAAGCTGTGCTTCGCGAACACTTGCAAGAACACGACCAAAAAGCAGCTCTATCAAAAAAAAATAAGAAAGAGTAGAAATAAGCCTCGAGTTAGCTCGGCTACGTGTAGTATTCGAATCTGCGACCTACTGCAATCAAAAGATTTTGAGTCTCACGCACTATCTACACCGCCATGCAAGCTTAACAACTGAAAAACACTTGTCACGAACAAAGCAGCCCATATGCTAATAAATCACCAATGCCATTCATCAAAAATGGCACCAAAAACAAATAGACTCAATTTTTCAAGTAATTATTTGGAATATAACAAACTGAAGGCATCCACACTAACTTTGCAAGTAAAAAATTGCAACGCATAAACCAAATTATGTATAAATGTATAATTATGCATTTCAAAAAATTGCGAGATATATTGACTAAAAACTTCTGGAATCGAATTTTAGTCATTATTATGTTGTTTGAAACAAATAGCTTTTTCGGTTCATTTGATGAATTAAAAATGCATCAACTGTGTGAACTTATTACTATTCGAATGCAAAAGCATATGCAATGAAAATGCTGTAAAGGTGCCTTAAAAGTGACACCACTATTTGCGATTTAGGTTGAAAAAAAAGAACATTCGTACTAATCCACTCGCTTCGCAAGTGTAAGAACCTGAGCAGTACAAAAAATATAAACTCGAAGTTTATAAATCCCCTCTTTGCATAAACTATATTTTTTTTGCAGGCAAATGGCACAAAAAGAGGCTACTGGTCCAATTTAAATTACCTTCAAACCTTTTGGGCCTAAAAAGAATTTAAAAAACACGAGAAGGGAAATTGAACAAAAACGGAGTTGGTAATTGTACAGCCAAGATGAAAAAAATATTTTGACAAGACACTTAATCTGCAAAAGTAAAACAGAACGGTTACTAAAAATGTAAAATTGCTCAAAAAATGTCTGTTGCACTAAAATTAAACTAAGGGCTCCAGGAGTTGAGGCTTGTGGAGGTCTTCAGGGGATAAGCCCTGTGAACAAAAATATTTGCGGGAAAAAGTCTTTTACCCGATTGCAATACGCTTGGTATCTGAAATTTTCTTTTCAGAATTCGGCTCGAATTAAAATCACTTTGAGAAAAACATGCCGAAAGACAATTGTCAGCGTTAAATTAACTAAATATAAGAGTACCGCTCCTTGAGCCGAAAAATGGTGTCATAAAACAGGCGCTACAAACAATTTAGAATTAAAGTCAAAATTAAACTCTATTATCACGAAACTAAGGCCCCAAAAATGTGGCCCTGCAAATGACACAATATGCGGCGACTAAGCCGATATAATATACATCTGAGCCTTTGTAGTCGAATAAACATTATTATTATAACTCAATTAGAAAATGCCTTGTATTTTGTATATCTAGAACCAAAATAAGAACAATTTTCGACACAGAGCCGAAGCTACACTTCTCAAATACAAAAGAGAAAACGACAAGCAGCAGCTCAAAAAAACATCAAATAAGAAAAAATAGAAAGAAACCACGAATTAGTAAAACTTTGCTGCGTCGGATTTGAACCTGCGACCTCAAGCTTTGGAGACTCGCGTTCTCGCATCTGCGCCACGGACCATTGAAATTTTGCTAACACTGCCAACAATGACGCAGCTATAGATGCTAATAAAATACCAATGCTATGCATGATTGGAAAAAAGTAGAGTTAGATTGTACACTACGCTTGCTAGCCTTCTTGTGTAAATAGAGAGAATATGTAAAAGTAAATGATGCTCAAATTATTCCAGTTGATGAATGAATTAATTAATTCAGACTATTTATCCACGAAGGAAAAGGCCATCATATTTGCTGAACAGCTCATCGCGGCGAACCGGTGTTGTGCCCTTGCTTAAGAATTACATGCAATTTTTTTGGTTATTTTTCTGGGCTGGGTAATGTTGCCTCACGCTCAAGCAACGAGCACGGATCAGGGTGGGCCTCAAACATCCGACCTTTCGATAGAGAGGCGGAGACGTAACCACCGCTCCCATGAATAGGTATAATCAGTCGGGAGTCTGAGGACATCCGAAGTCCTGTGAACAAAGTTTTTAATCGAAAAAGTCTAGTTCTCAGTGGCAAGATTTGGGTAAAAAATGGTATCAAAGGGAAAAATGCTATCATTTTAGGTTCCCATTTTTATAATTTTGGAAGAGACTCAACTATCATAGTTCAACGATTCTTATGTCGGGATTATCTTGATCACATGACGGTGATAAGCATACTGGCCGAAAACAGTGATAAGCATACTGGCAGAAAAGAGTGATAAGCATAGTAGCAGAAAACAGTGATAAGCATAGTGGCAGAAAACAGTGATAAGCATAGTGGCCGAAAACAGTGATAAGCATAGTGGCAGAAAACAATTATAGTTATAAACATACTGTACGAAAACAGTAGCGGACGCTTTAAAGTTTGATTTACATCAGCTCATCTGTTTTTCTTTGGCCTAGACGCAAACTTGGGTCGCTCTGTCTATTTTTATAGACTGGTCTACAAAACTGAATATTTAGTCTATAGCTTTCAAGTAGTCTTCATTTTATTTAGAGTTCACTCATAAATTACCTAAGACTACTAGAAAGCTATAGACTAAATATTCAGTTTTAGAGACCAGTATATAAAAATAGACAGAGCAACCCAAGTTTGCGTCTAGGCCAAAGAAAAACAGATGAGCTGATGTAAATCAAACTTTAGAGCGTCCGCTACTGTTTTCGTACAGTATGTTAATAACTATAACTGATTTCTGCCACTATGCTTATCACTGTTTTCGGCCACTATGCTTATCACTGCTTTCTGCCACTATTCTTATCACTGTTTTCTGCTTCTATGTTTATCACTATTTTCTGCCAGTATGCTTATCACTGTTTTCGGCCAGTATGCTTATCACCGTTATGTGATCAACATAATCCCGACATAAGAATCGTTGAACTATGATAGTTGAGTCTCGTCCAAAATTATAAAAATGTGAACCTAAAATTATCTTTAGGGAGCCTTCTAACTTCTACATACCAAGGTATCATACTTGTACACAAAACTCTAACTTAAAAAATGAAGACAAACTACTTACTTCGAACATGACGCGCAAGTCAGGATCTCTGTATCTGAAAGGGATATTGGACACATGCAGTCGCTTGTTCCCTGTGTCGTGCAACAGGTTCTGGTGATGACTGACACCCCCACTCCCTCCCACTGATCCCGTCCCAGTTGACCCCGAGTCACCCCCACCATTACCCATTATTGCACTTGTTATACTGCTGTTAGTGCTATTGCTCTGATTTTGATTGTTATTTATACTACTGCTATTACTGTAGGAGGAAGCGGTCGTTGGATTTGCACTGTAGTGGGCTATAGTTGCCCCAATCTGTCTCGCATCTCCAACAGATGCATTTTGAGTTGACATCACAGAGTTGTTATCTGTTGCACGCATGTGGTCAATAACTGAGCTTCTGTTGTAGTAATCTTCCGGCTAAAATTTACATTTAAATTCGACGGTAACGAAAAAAATAGAAATGAATCGTCAATTAAGTCCAAGCTGAGCCCTCAAGCTTGAGCGGTCATTGTGCAAGTAGAATATAAAGTTCCGACACTTTTATGAAGTAGGCAGGGGCGGATTTCAGATTTTTTTAAGAAATAGAACCAAAGGGAGGGACACTCTTTAGGAAGTAATGGTATCGATATCCCGAGGAAGGTGCTTTCCCTTACATCCTTATATGGATGTAAGGTATGCTGCTAATCATTTTTTTATTCAATCGTGTTATACCTGTATTGAAAATTTAGCTTTTCAATTTTTTCTTAATACAGTCATAAAAAATTTTAAATGTTGAAAAAAACTAAGTGAACCAATTTTTAGTATGTCTCCATAAAAAACAACTAGGCTCCCAGATAATGCTGGAGGCATGTGTTTGATATTGGATGAATTTGCTTTACTGATGCGGCACGAAAAACGTGATTTCGAAAATTGGACTTTAACCAAAACATTAGTTCTTACTCTAGTAAAATAAGAGAGAAAAAGGTAAAAATTTTGAGATAATCAATTTTCCAAGGATATAAAATTTCTCTTAAAATCAATAAGAGAGTCGCCGCTTCTGCAGGAACAATTATCGCAACCAATTCTTTCAATTGAACTTTTCATCTCAGATTTGATTGCGTAAATTTTCGAAAATTTATAAGGTTTCTAAAACACGGCCAAAAGTTTTTGCAAAATCCATAACTTTTTCAGCAAAAAGCAGGTTGAGGCCGCCTAATTAGAAAAAAATACCACAGCTAGGATTCTCGATTGAACACAACCTGAAAACTAGCAGGGTAATTTTCGCGGAAAGTCAAAAAGGTCCCCAAAAACTGTCGAAGTTTCAGAACTTTAACTTGTTTGAAACCAATTTTTCTTAAACTAATTGGGCATAGTCAATAATAAATTTAGGCTTTCAACAACCTGTTAATTTGATTAAACTTATATCAGATTTGGCAGGATACTTAGCGGGAAAAAAACGGTCAACAAATCAAAATTTTGACATTTCAGAGAATCATAGTTTTTTATGTGAAAAATAGGGTATAGCCGCTTCTGCAGAAGGGATTCAAGTAACCTGTGATTTCCATTGCATCCAAAATCTGAGATTTGGGAGTGTAGTTCTCGAGAAAAAAAAACTTTCAAAAAAAAGGTCAAAAAATCAAAAGTGTGACTTTTCCGAGGGCGATAAAGTTTTGTCTAAAAAAACTTTGTGTGGCCGCTAATGCAAGATAGCTTCTCATTACACGTTATCTAGATTAAACCAACAATATCAAAAATGGGAGGTTAATCTTCGAGGAAAGTCTAAATGATTCACAAAACTTTCAAAAATCAAAAATTTGACTATTCTGAGGGCCATAACTTTGTGTAAAAAAATTGGACGTAGCCACTTAGGCATAGCTTTTCAAAATCGTTCTATTCAAGGAAACCAAAAACTCAGATTTAATAAGATTACTTTTCGAGAGCACGAAAAATAAAAACATGGGTCAAATATTTCCCCACAGACTTTTTCGAAGATTCAACAAAAACTGTAAAAAAAAACGGTCAAAAAATCGAAAGTTTGACTTTTCTGAGGGCCATAAATTTTGGGGTCAGAAAAATTCTGGCAAAGTCGCATAAGCAAATGAGCTTCACACGACCCGTTCTTTGAAATGAACCCAAAATTTCAGATATTGCAGTGCAGTTTTCGAGAAAATTAAAAAAAGTTTACAAACGAACAAAAAAAAACGGGTCAAATATTCCCCCACAGGCTTTTTCGAAGGCGGTAGACAGAGGGTTCAAAAAACAAGAGACGCTAGGGGAAGTGAAGGCACACACAAGGGAGCAGGCGGTCTTTCAATTGATACCCCTTTTTTGAAAATCAGTAGAAGTTTCTGAGAAACCTAAAACTTTTCCAAAAAAATTTGGAATTAAGTTTCCATAACGAAAAAAGAAAATTTCAGCAAACCAATTTGTAAAACATACAATCAGTATGAATAGTGCGGAGGGCAGTTTTAACATTTTGTTTCCCTTGAGAAGTCCAAAACTTAGGTCATTAAGCCAATAAAAATAGGTCGAAACAATTTGGGCCAAGGAATTTTTTTTAGCAAAACAAAAAAAAAACAAAGGAGGAACTACGAAGTCAAGGCAAGTAAAACAATAAATAGTAGGAAAAATCAAATACTAAATGCAACATTAAAGAAAAATGCGCGCAGCAAAAAAAAACGATTCCAAGATGTGACAACTAACCCGACAACAGAAAAGCAGACAAATAAGCGGCCGACGATTTTATTTGAAACAAAATAATTCCTGTTTGAAAAAAAAAACAGGTCCTGGTCAGATTTAAACCCACTTTCTTTGCCGTCCCAGGCATATTCGTTACCTGCAGGCTAAGTTGACCGAGAACGTATAGAAACTTGAATTCATAATGAACCAAGTTACAAGTGATGATTCTGTTAAACAAGTTAACCCGAAAAAAGTCTAAATTCCAGTTTGATCAAGCAAAAACAAAACGCACAAGGATATGATAGGAAAAAATAATATGCATTATTGACTTTTTTTGATCTCTGTATGAGACATAAAGTGCGTCTCTTTTTTTAATTAAATTCAATTATAATTCATCTTACCACCTCTTTGATCAATTCGGCGGCCGAGATTCCGATTCCGTCAATTATTGACGACGCCGATGACAAGTTCTGCCTCGTATCTCCTCTCCTCGCCGGATCGTTCATCAACTCCACTGCATTCTGATTGGACGCCGACTTCTGTTGGGTCTCGGCAACGTGACCAAACTCGGTCTTGATTCGGTTCAGATCGTGGAAACCTGTAATGTTAAGTCCACTGGAATCTTTAGATGCCAGTTTATTATTTGCATCACTGTTCCGCTCGGTCGGTCCCCCCATTGAGGGCGGAGGAGGGGGCGGCATTGGCAAGGGCGTCGCAATCAAATGTTGGTTCATTACTTATTCGATCTTCTGTGTCGTCAAGTTTTGTAGTTTAAAAGGCAGTGTTACAAATCAGTAAGTGACACAATAAGTAGACTAGCCAATTCGTAAATCGCAAGCAGAAAAAGAACCAAAATTGACACCAAGCTCGTTTAAATAAAAAGAATCAGGAAAACTAGGAAGTATCTCGACAGTTGGTCTGTACTTGGCAATTCGTTCTGGCCGAATGAGCTTCCGTGTTTCTATTCCGATTAGGTTATTACAATTGTGAGCTGCCCTAAATCAAACAACAACAGTAAGATAATCTTCTAAATTGGTGGCTTTGGCAACTTAATGTTCTATGATCCGACCCTGTCGTTATGCGACTACAATGCAATAATGAATGAATCGAATGACTGGGCCCAGACTGTAAAAATTTATTGGACAATAACAGAATGGGAGAAAATACTATGAATAGGTGCGTGGTCAATTCCACGGCAAAATCATAAACTACAAGAGAGGCAAAAAGGCATTAGATTACAGCAAAATTACACAAGGCAACACAGAGGAACGACTGTTCGCAATAATGCGTTGCGCAAGTGAACCAAGTCAGCCTCAGTTGTTTCCTTTTCCATTCCAGTGTACAGAACATGAGTTATAGAATAAAATAGAGGCACATGTAAGGAAGCACATTTGATTCCGTGCAAGACAGGTATGTGAAATAAAATTGAGGAAAAGAAGAACTGTATGTTATCCTGTGTTCTTTCTCTGTGTTAGAATACAGCTCCATGTTGGAGCCAATCGAGTACAGCCGCCTACGGATGGCACAACACTACAGGGACATTTCAATCAGCAATGGAGTAAAAAAAGTCCAGCGGAACTAAAAGTCCGATGGTTTTTTAAACAGATAGGTCTCTTAAATTACGTGGCTAGGAGGTATTCGGTTAGTAATATTTTCCCCAAAGGAGTTGCTTGTAACTACCTTTATGACAATGCTTTAAGCACCAATACCAACTTGAAAAATTACGCAGTCAAAAAACACAGAGCGTTGTTATTGCACAGTCAAAAATACACAGAACGACGCTACAAGAAAAACGTTGTTATTCCCCGGAAAAGGCTCACTGAATTCAAATTAAGAAACAGAGTAACTACAAGGAAAAATGATGGTGTCGAAAATTTTTTAAACAATGTGAACAAGAAAAATGAAAACTTTTTTCAATAAAAACAAAAAATTTGATCAAAATCTCGAAAAAAGTTAGCACCAGAAATCAGCCATACGACATGAACGAGCAATATTAGGAGGTATCTATGCAGAAATACTTCTAATACGAAGAGAATTAAAACTGTTATAGCTTGGAGTAGGCAGTTGCTGAAAAACAGGCAAAAATGTACCACAAAAATGTGCCAATTTGATTTTTTTTTTGGTAATTTATTCACTTTCTTGTCGTTTTTAGGAGGCGAAGGAAAGATTAGTTTTGTTAGACTTAGTTGATATGAAAAAATTAGCCACGGGGTTATTCAGATTTCTGAAAAAAAATGAATAAAGAATAAATACTGAGTAAACAAATAGCACAGAAAGTTCCGACCAGTCTTAAAATTTTTTTTTAAATCAAATTGGTGTCGTTCTTTCAGCATGTTGTGATAAAAAGATTTGTTGCATGTTGTGATAAAACGAAAAATTATAAGGTAGGAGTATTTGAGAGTCATAGTAAAAGAGGTTAACTGGAAAACTGTTTTTGAAGAAAAATGACTTGAAAAACGAAAAAAAAATTTTGCTGAAAATTTTTTTGAACTTTAAGTTTTTGATTACCAAAATTGCGCTAAAAACTCCAAAAACTACCTTTACTTGAGTATAACTAAGTTTTCGCGGCTTAAATGAACTATTATATGCGTATACGGTCACCTTAGCTCAAAATTAGACCAAAAATCAAAAATTTCAAACCCGTTTTTCTCGACACTGAAAAAAATTGGCTTTAATAAATATCACTCGACCCAATCCGACGATTATTTGTGGTACCTGATTTTGCGTGGACAACAAAGAGAAAAAATCTAAACACACCCGAATACAAAGTTCCTCCCCATTTTCCGCGGTCGGAACAACAAGGCAACATATTGAACAAAAACATGGCTAAAGGAACGTTAGAAAGTGTCAATGCAAAAATATTTTCAGTGTCAATGCTTAATTTTGTCAAAAATTGAACTTTAGAATTTCAAAAAATAATAGATGGCCTTAATTAAATCGTAGTTGAATTTCAGGAAAAAAGACACTGTTTCTGCTACAGGTAATCCAAATTATGAAAACTGGATTAAACGCAATTCATGATTATCACACGCGGGATCAGAATGCTTACTAAAAGCAACCAAACGAGAATTGTTAACCAAAAATAAGAAACTAATTGAACACAGAGGCAAAACGGAGCTTCGCACCACTTGTGATACCACTAAAACATAGCCAAGAGGCAGTTGGAAAAGAGTCAACAAAGGCAAGTACACAGAAAAAAAACGGAAATACTTTTGATCAAATTTTACTTTCGAATTTCAAAGAAAAAGGCATTAAAGCGGTTCGAAGTTCTGAAACAGCTGATGTTTGCCATTTTTTGATAAAAACTAAACAATTTGAGAAAACTTGATCAAAATATATATTTTTTTTTAATTCGCTGGAATATTCGAAAATTAAATTCAACTTTCGTAACTAGAAACCAATCACGTTTTTCTTGACCTTTACACTTTCGTATTTGGAGAACACAACCTTTTAAGTTTGAGCAGATGAAATTGATTTGAACAGCGAAAGTGCATATATATACCTAGAAGCATTCATAAATGCATTTATTAGTAAATAATTAGAGCATTCTAAAACATTTCCGAGAAAAAAAATCATCACGACCTAAACACAGAGGCAAAGCAGAGCTTCACAACAATTTCGATACAATTTAAAACACTACATTACAATATATTCAATAGAAAGAAGCAACTCATTTTTTTTTTTGAAAAATCAAGCCGAAAAAACATTATCAACAAAAATTTCGTAACTACGTCTAAGATGATGTCCATGAACCACCTTAACAAACATTGAGAACCAATGACTGAGCGGAAACTATGGCGAAATATTTGGGTATACCGAAAAATTTCCAAATGTCAAAGTTTGCAAAAACAACGAGCACAATTTCAAAAATTGATTATTTTTGAGTAGATTCTTTTTCTACCAAAATTATGGCGTAGCAACTTATGCAAGTGATATCCCCGAAACACGGTCTTCGAGTTGAATCCTTAATCTCAGATTTATCAGGGTAGTTTCCGAGAAAAAGCAAACGATCCAAAAAAAATCGGTCGAAAATTCTTTTCAACTGAAAGAGCGAGACAACAAACGTTGCAGACAACGGAATTTCTAAGCACACAGGGTAGTAAGCAGTCTATCCATTGTTAAACCTTTTTTGAAAATCGTTATACTAAATGTTTAGAAAAAATTGCCATTACCGAAAATTGCAAAAATTTCTATTAGCGTCTCAAAATAATAAAAAGCAAATCACATACATTTTCATGTTATCTGCTTTAAATCGACATGAACTAGCCACCAATGAGCCAGGTTTTAAAATGTACGACTATGAAGCAAAAATTAACCAAATATAAAAAGCAGAAGTGTCACCAAATAATAAGCACCTTCATCTGCTACTTTGGTTGCAAAAAAATCTGGATACCGTAATAAGACACTACGCTCCGCGGGTGTAAGAATCATTTTTGTACCTATCCAAACTGAAACATGCCGAAGCATTTAAAAACTATCCTTGAAACTACGCATTTGTCGCAAACAACGCAAATTGACTTAGCCGATATAACATAAGCCGCGTCCGTTTCACAAAAAAAAACTTGGTTTAATTATTTAAATCAGAGTTAGTAAATTTATGCACTATAGAACAACGTTCAATTTAGTAACAATTGTACGAATTAAAAGTAAAAAAAAAATAAAAGCGGGGCTTTGCAACATTTGCGATACAATCAACACATTGCATTACACGATATTGTATAGCAGGAAATGTCTCGGCTGATGTTTATAACAGCTCTAACCAGCCTTGAGAATCAAGGAACAAAAAGCAACTAAGGTGAAAAAAAATGGGTCGACCATTGTTAAGCTGAAAACGAAACTGTTGTCTTAAACAATGTAGAGCTTTCAAACTTTAAAACACAAAATTTTGACAGTTCATCCCTCCTGAAACACGCAAATGCGTTTTAAAGTCCTCGCTAAATCTACGCAACATATGATGGATAAACTTAAACATAGACCTCGTTTAGCCGAAAAAAAGTAGAAATTATTCAAAATCAGAAATGGTACATTTACTAACTACAGAGCATTTTCAATTATAGAAAAAACCGCTTGATGAAAAAAGCCTCAAGCAAAGGAAAAAACTTACTTGAAAAAAGTACCACATATTATAATAGTCATTTTGAAAAAACGGCAAATGAGCCGACGGAACTAAAACAAAAAATCCGAAAAAACGGATAACGGGACAATCTAGCGAATTAGGTGTGAACAACGTTAATCGATTCTTACTTACAAAAGAAAATTTTCGAAATCAGAGTTGATAAATTTACAAACTATAGATCACCTTTCAATTATTTTTTAAAATGTTTAAGTCAGAAGATGATCCTGCAACTTGGGAAGTAGGCTAATGAAAAACCTCAGATATCAGATATCATAGTTTGCAACTGAGAAAAAAACGGAAACTGAGCCAGTAAAAAATTAGACGAAAACTAGGAATCATAAAACTACCTGGATTACAACCCAACATTAACCACGTCAGTTTTAGTAAATTTTCAAGAAAACAAGCATGTCAGCCTTCACGTAACTTTGCATATCAGCAGCATGACTGCCAGCCAGCAGTGAGCATGTCAGCCTTTACAGGAAAAAAAAACTAGTTCCCAGTTACAAGACATTTACTCTCATGCAGCAAATCAAAAATCTTATAAAGCTTTCAAAATTCTGAAAAAATGGAAGAACTTTGAACACTTGGTAGATAATTTTTCCTTGCCTATCTGAAGTCTTCCTTTTAACTGGAAACATTAAAGAACTTCATAACACAGAAGTGAATCTGAGCTCCGCAATCCTTGCAATAAAACGAGAATAAACTAAACAGCATGGCGCTCAGAAGTAGTAAATAGGCTTTTGAACGATGCTACCATTGAACTAGAAAAACGAAAATAAAAAACGATTTTCAAATGGGGTCCTCGTGGGTTCGACCTTGAGCTATCAAAATAAAGTTCAATGTCAAACCCTCAAAAGAACGAATTTTGAGGTAAAAAAGCCGACAAAATTAAATCCGTTACCCAATAAGATGAAAGTAAACCAAAATTTTTGGGCAGAAGATACTCAAAGGCCTGTTATTTCGATTGAACCCAAAAAACAAAGAATTGCGAGGGTAGTTTTCGAGAAAAACGGTATGAAAACCAAAAGATGACATTTGCGAGGGCCATAACATTTTGTGTTAAAAATGCGTGGCCACTGATTCCATGGAGCTTCCCAGAGATCGTTTTGGATTGAACCTTCAGATTTGGGAGCGTAATTTTCGAAAAGAAAAATCAAATGATTTCAGAACAGTCACAGAATCAAAATCTTGACTTTGCCGAGGGCCATTACTTTTTCGATAAGAAAACTTGGGGTGTAGCCACTCATGAAGGGAACCTTCCCACAGCTCGCTCTTTGGATTGAACCAAATTTGGGACGGAATTTTCGATCGTAGTCGAAAGTTTCAAAAAATCTTCTGACTTTTCTGAGGACGATAACTTTTTGCGTAAAAGAATTATGGAGAAGCTGCTAAAAAAGGAGCATCCCACAAACCATTTTCTTTATTGAACCCAAAATCACAGATTTGAGAGGGTAGTTTTTGAGAAAACGATAGAAAACCTTAAAATAAGGGTAAAATATTCTCCCCACAGCCTTTTTCGAAGGACGTAGACAATGTAGTAAGGTTAAAACAAGACTAGGGAATTTTACAGGCACACAGGGGAGTAAGCGATCTTTCTATTGATACTCTTTTTTTGAAAATCGAAAAAAAAGTTATTGAGAAAAACAAAAACTAAAAAAATCCATAGCGTCTCAAAAACAAACCACAATCTCGTAACTTTTCATCAACAAACAGGAATTATAGACGAACATGTCAAGCAAGACATCGATTTATAAATAAGCAGTGGATCAAAACTTATGATGCAGAAGCAAAGCCAACAATCTTTGGGCAGATATCAGTTTAGAAGAAAAAAAAACTGATTTTGCTTTTAAAATTTCAGTTTTAAATCCACCTGAAACTACAGTCAGGGGCGGATCTCGGATTTTCTCGAGGGAAGGGGTGGCGGATTTTCAAAAAAGCTTCAAAATTTTGTCGACCTTTTTTTCAGGTCGAGCAAATTGATATTCCGAGCTACAAAGCACTGAAAAGTCCGTTTTGGGCAAAATTCCCCCCTTAAATTTAGTATATTAAATTTAGTATATATTGCGCGCTCCATTCCCCTCCATATGACGTCCTCCATTCCCCTAAATCCGCTCCTGACTACAGTGAACAATCCTTGCAGCTACCACGATACTAGCTTGCATCACAAGATAATTCCGTACTGTGGCATTTAAGCCAATAAAACTTGTCACAATTCAATTTTTAGGTTTCTTAACGCTCTGAATTTCGGTAACAATTTATGATTGGCATTTTTTTGAATTAAATCAACCCAATTTGAAAAAACTGGATCAAAAAGTAAAACTTTCATTTTGCAGGGAAATCTGATAACTAAAATGAATTTTTGAAATTAGAAGTCACGTTTTTCGTGACCTTTACACTTCCGCTGATTGATAGTGGAGCTTGCCCCGGCCCTTTAACAAAGGAACAGTTGATTTCCTTTATTAAAGGGCCGGCAAGCTCCACTATTAATCAGCGGAAGTGTAAAAGTTAAAAACTTAAAAAGAAATCAAAATTCAAACTGAGAAAAAAATTGAGGCTGAACAAATTTAAAACTTTTCTTGAAAGAGCAAAAAATCATCACGAACTAGATAAGTGTCTGAGCTACGTTCATTGTCTCTTAAAAACCGAAAAACAAAATGATCGAAAACTTTGCGAACTTTTTGCGGATGAACTTGAATGAAATTCAATGAGTACATATTTACCTAGGTGCATTTCATGAATGCATTAATAGCTATGAATGCAATACTTTCGTTATTAGATTATATTGAGATTTTTTCATGAAACATACAAACAAAAAAATTAGCAAAACCTAAATAAGTTGAAATCACTTCGTTCATTTACACTAAAAAAATCGATTTGACACTACATTGAAATCAAATCTATTTTCTATGGCAGCAAAACTTTTGGTCTGCATTAAAACCAAAAAGCTATAAGGAAATTTTATTACGCTCTGATAACAAAATAAAAAGTCGAAAAACTATTGAAAAGCTGATTTGAATAAAAACAAATAGCAAGAAAGACTACTTAAATTGGTACGAAATCAAAACGGTTGACAAAAAAAAACATAGCCAACAAACAGTTGGAGAAGAGTCGAAAAACAGAAAAATTGACTTGTTTTTTGAACTTCAAACAAAAAATATATGGCCTTAAATGGCTCTTTGAATTCCAAAAACAATTGACATTTTTTTTTGATATATGAACTCAATTTGAGCAAAACTGGATCGATAGAAAAGTTTTTTTTTCGTTTGTCAAAACTGAATATTAAAATCCTATTTTGAAACTAGAAATTGATAACGTTTTTTTTCCGCGTCATTTCAGCTTTCCTGATTGGAGAGTGCATTTTGCGTACCTTCTAGCAATCGAACTTCAATTTACCTCAAAAATGCATATATACCCAAGGGCATTCATATGTGCGTTTATGAGTATGAATGTACTTCTTTTTTATTACAGCATTCTTAGACTTTTCCTGAAAAAAATCATCACGACCTATATAAGAGTCTGAACTACGTTCATCAACTCTTAATCAATTACTTCTGAAATTCGTTTTTGTAATTTTTGCTTTAGATACTGCGTTTCTCGAAAAACGTTTGGTATATATTCCTCAACCAGACGAGGCGTGTGCGCTTGACATTTATCATCGACCATATCAAAATATACATCAATGCGCTCGGGCACATTCGGACAGTTTGGTATGGAGCAAAATAATGTGACAACTGAGCCGCTTTTTTCAAAAAAAATGTAATTTTCAAGTAAAAAGTTAATTAGTGCTGTTTGCATTTGAAATATTTACAGTTACGAGAAAACTTAAAAGCCATTTATAAACGAAATAGTTTTCCTCGTAGTGATTCGCTTCCTGCTGGGGAAACAAAACTTTAAACGTCAACAAAAAGAGTAACAACAATTTTTTCCCTTTCATCGCTCATCAGGTAGTTATCTTTTATTCTGTTTAAATCTTTTGTTACTGAAAAACAACTTATTTCAATTTTCGTAGTAACGGAACAGATCGCTTCCAAAATACAGAAGAATCAATCCTGCTAATAAGCAGAAACCGTCCGACTTAGCGAGGAAGAGTGTTTTTAATATGTTTGCTATTGTGATCTGCGCAGTAATTGAAAAAGCATCCATAGCTCTTAGACGCCATTAACGTTATTAAAATCAGTGAACTGACTCTTTGAATTCAAACTTTAATAATCCAAGATTAAAATAGCTTAGTGTCAATTAAAAACACTTTTTTTGGCCACAACTACTCTCTCGCTTTCCTGTCCCTGTAAAAGATAGGCATTTCAGCAATATCAGCTGATGAACAACAGTCCTAAGTTAACAAAGCCCACTCAGTTTGACCCGAGAGCTTATTAGGAGAACATTTCTACAGTTGCTATCCTTTTTTGATAATGAAAAACAAATAAAAAAACCACTGAAAAAAAATCAGGTGTGATAAAAAATCCGAAATAGTGAAAAAATTACCTTAACAAGCCAAATAATTTATTAGGTTCGATTTGGAAACTTATTGACAACTGAAAACTGCTCAGACTACCCCTGAACTTGTGATTAAACTGAGTGATAAAAAACTATTATTTATTAACTTTCAGTTTAGCTAGCAACCATTCCTCAAAAAGGGCCGCAAACCTTTTGCAAAACTTCTTTCACAGAAGAACAGACAAAATATACAAGAAAGTTGCTTAAAAATATAAGCAGAAAAATTGTTTTTTGAGCTAAGCAATCAAATATTTATTAAAAAATGATGAAAATAAATTAAAAATCTTATTCAACGGAACTTCAAAACATAGATATAATAACGGAACTTCAAAACATAGATATAATTAGAAGCGAAGCATCAAAAACGGCTTACTGCTATTGAATAACTTAGGCAACTTTCTGTAGAAAAATGAGCAATACTTACTTATTCTATTCGCTATTCGTTTTTGGCACATGTTTCGTGTGTTTTGGCTCGACATACAGTCAATCGTTCGACTGGACTGAGCCCGACACTCGACTCTTATCTTCCGGCAGTTCGCATGCAGTCAACTTCTTGAAATGGAAACGACTCGAGGTAAGAAGTTGTAGCTAAGCATTACTGCAACAAGCTTCGTACATTGTACATAAATAGAAACAGACCCGAAGTAGCATTGCTGTTATCTGAAATGAATAACAGAATTAAATGCAACTCATGAAATTTCAGATTTCGAAAGAGAACATACGGAAACTTTTAACGGGAAGCTAGTCAGTACACTACAATTTTCCTAAGAGTATATTCTTTTCGTTATCAAAATATTTATGTAATGAACTTTCTGATTCAAACTTTTAGGCGTCCCTGACCAACTTGCGAAACATCAATTTTCTGTATAATGTGTATAGCCTCAGAATAAGTCTTCTAGTTTTTGTAGTGTTTGTTTATAAGTTAGTTTGTTTAATTGCCTCTAGTACTTTTTCACGAGATACTTTTTTTGTGTGTTTTAAGATGATGATGATGAGCAGTAGCTCGAAACTACTCCAAATTTATCATTGATCCTCGTACTTTTTCAGATTCTAACTTTTTTCAAATTTCTTTTAGTTATTTTATTAATCAATTAGAAAATGGATAATGAAACAGGAATGATTGAAACTATTTTTAGTCGCTGATTGCGGACCAGGTCAAGAGGGCAAACATGGCTCCTGTAGACTCACAACCAGTAGCAGACTATCAATGGATAGATAGTTCCTATGATTCAGACACACCAAAGGAGCTCATTTCACACAAAAGCAAAAGATGTTCAAGAGGTAAGCAAACTAACCAGTTCAGCAGCGCGCACACAATTTGGTATCATTTTACACAGAGGCGAAGCTGAGCTTCGCACCACTTGCGATACAAATATGAATGACTATGAAAATCAAACGGAAAAAAATCGGTTTTGTCAATAGAAATTGCAACAAAAGCCCAAAATATCCGGATTAAAACTGCCTACAGCATTATAAACTCTACATTGAGCTTTGGGAATGCTATACAGAAGCCAAGTTTTCAAAAAATTCCTTTCTGCGGAATAAGCAGACAAAAATAAGCAGACATACAATAATCTAAATCAGCCAAAAATTATTATATGCAAGAAAAACAAGTCTCAACAGAAATCGAACTCCCGGGCTTTGTCGACTCAAGCATTGGGTTTACAGCAACTTGCAAAACAGCTGAAGCATCGATCTAGGGGAACTAAGCCGACAAAAATAAACAGACGGACGAGTCCGAAAAAGCAAAAAAACTCTAGTTTGCAAAAAAAGTCCCGGACGGATTCGAAACGCAAATCTTTGCCGTCTAAAGCAGTTTTTTTACCTCTACGCCAGATGGTTGATTGGATTTGAGTCTATAGTTACCAAGCGGTAACAAAGCCGAAAAAACCCGAGCAGAAACCCTTCATGTCGAAAAGAAATTCAAAAAAATTCTTAACTTATTAAAACTGTTGCGTCACTTTCATTTCAGAAAAAATTAATCAAGATTCCGGAAAAACTTAAATCGAATGCATTTTTTTTTCATTTTAAAAACTCTCCGTTTCTAAAAAGAATTGTTTTGGCTAGTATAAAAACCACGAAACCTTGAACTATATTTACCCTCTTGTACTGAAAAAATCTACCAAAAAACTACAGAAATTAAAAATTAAACACCGGGCCAAAATAACGACATAAATCATTATACCGGTAGAAAAGAAGAAACCAATAGAAAAATTGATTTCATATCTGAAAATTTTGTGCGATCCAGAGGGGAGCATGAAAACGATGTTTCATTTGAAAGACTAGAAAATAGGTCACAAAGCCTATTAAAATCAAGCCGAAATCACTTCGGCAGAATTAAGTTTTTAAATGAAAGAAACAAAAAAATAAAAAATCTACGAAGTCAAGGGCAACAATTACAAACAGCAGAAGTAAAAAAAAAGGCTCAAATGAAAAACAGGGAAAATTGTGCACACAACAAAAAACACAATTTCCCGTTTGGAAAAAAATAAGTAGACCTGGGTTAGATTCGAACCCAGGAATTTCGCAATCTCAGGCGTATTCGTTACCTCCACACAAAAAGTGCCGGAGACGCAAAGAAAATTGAATTAACTATGAAATGAACCTAAATTTAGCATTTCTAATTTTGACCAGTCTGTGAACAAAGTTCTTTACGGGGGAAAAAGTCTCGTAAACGATTGCAATACCCTTGCTGATCGCAAGGGTAACAACGTCCCTTATTAGCTAAAATTTAACTATCACTAAGTTAGACTCAATAATTTTCTGTATGAAACGGGAAAAATTATCGAAAAAATTTTGAAACATTAATCGCCTATGAGTTTTTTTAACATATTTCTGACAACGTGCAAATGAATAAACATCGTATGCCAAAGTTCCTTTTAAAACTTTTCAGAGATTGGATTATTGAAAGATCAGACAAGAAGGCACTTTCGATGCTTTTGAACTATCAAAATGTTCGGACCACTCCTAACAAATTTGATGATTTACATAAGCGGAGCATGCAAATTTTAGAAAAAATAGTCAATGAAAAAGAGGATAAGGAACAGCGGTTATATAAAATTTATTTCAGATACATTGATAAGAAACAATAAAACATAGCGCCACTTACAGTTGGAAAAGAGTAGCGAACGCAAGTAAACAGAAAAACAGTTAAAAATCTCAACTTTCGAATTTCAAAGAAAAAAATAGATGGCCTTTAAGCTCTTTGAGTTTCTAAAACAATATATGATTGGCACTTTTTGATAACATTAACCCAAGTTAAGAAAACTGGATCAACGGATAAAGTTTTATTCCGCTGGAAATCTAAAAATTAAACTCCACTTTCGAAACTAAAAATTATTCACATTTTTGCGCCATTTCCATGTTCGCATTCCCATTTCAATTGAACTAAGAAAGTGCATACAAATCTAAGTGCATTCAAAGCACTAATAAGTGTGAATGCACATCTGTAGTTATTAGAGCATTTTTCAGACTTTTTCCTTAATAAACAAAAAAAAATCGTTAAGATCTACATAAGAGTTTTCACTAAGTTCATTACTCTTAATTGATTCAATTTCTTACTACTTTCAAATTTAGAATAGAGAAAAATGGGGAGATCAAGCAGTCTGTTAGAGTTTTGAGACGATGACGGTGGGTGCCCACAAGGCGGCATACCCGGGTAGTCGAAAAAAAATACGCATCAAAACAAAATATGACTATAAAAGCAAATTCGTCACAAAATTTATTCAGAACGTTAAACTCCCGGTTAACATCCTGGTTGGCCGGAAGTCTCTATGAATTTACGTGCCAATGACCATGGCCACCCGAAAAAAAATTGTTTTTCGAGACCAAGCTAACAAAAATCCAATATACTTAAAACATTTTCTGTGTAAAATAGCTTTACTTTTATGGAATTAGATAGCGAAAAAGTGCGAGTACTAGAACTTTGATACGCAATATCTTTTTCGACTATCCGATGACAAAATTTTTTCGACAATCCGATGGCAATTATTTTTAGCTATCCAGAACGAAATTTATCTATCTAGTTAATAACCAAAAAACAGCAGTATCAAAGTTTTCTGAGAGGAACTAAGAAAGCACAGAAAATTTTTTCAAAATAAGATCGTTAAAGCGTTCGGTATAGCCCAAATTTATTCGACCCAATAAAAAAGATCCATCAAATTTTCTATTGTTTTGAAGCGATCCTTCCTCTTCCTAATTATAGAATTAGTGTATTTTGAAGGCCTATAATTTACTCGTCATTCAGGACTATAATGAGAGATATACTTTCTTTATTAAATGATACGAGCGAGAATTCACAAACTTCAACGAATGATTTTTGGCTTTGAGTGAATCATATTTTCCAGCTCTCAGCAGGGAGCAACAAAATTTGGGCAATCCGGGAACAATTTTTTCGCCTTTCCGGGAATGAACTTATTTATCGGCTATCCGGTGATTCGACTCGTGTAAAATATCAAAAAATGATCCCATTCACATTTGCAATTAGATTTAAATCAATTGTTTTAGGTGCACGATGCAATTGGAAGGACATGTGGTGAATAAACGAACATATCAACCAATGAAACTGGGCCGGATTGAGAACAAGTTCATTGACTTTTTTGAGTAGCTTGATATAATACATCATACTAAGTCATTTATGGAACTCATTTCATTTGTTTGAAATATTACATCACACCAAGTCAATTATATTATGGAAATCAATTTATTTGTTTAAACCATGAAACAGAAAGAATACAAGAAAAAAGAAAACAACAAGCTTTTCACAGCTCAGTAGTTTTTACTGTTAGGCGGCAAAGATTACAAGCATCAAGAATCTTGATATAAATGAGCTGCGTTAGAACGCTTTTGAGCGCAACCAGGCCAGAAAAATACTAATCAACTCCAGTATAATTCAGAAAAAAATTATTCTGCAGTTTTCTGCAACTTGAGATTTGATACACTTTGGGTTACCTTCATGAACAATATTTTGCAGTTTTGTTTAAATCAGAAATTATCAAGCAAACAGAAAAAACTACATTGTTCTTCATCATTTCACCGTGTGAAAAAATTTAGAAATTTCATTAATTAGGGAAGTGTTAAGGAAAGTACAAAGTGCAGGAAAATCGAGATGGTTGGGAATCAAGTCAACCATATTGTGCAAACTAACACCAGCACATTTCGGACTTTTACGCAAGTTTTCTAAACTTTAACTTCTTTGACGGAATTTGCGTTCAATTGAGCCGATGTGGCTTTAACGGCTAAATCTGATAACAGTTGCTGTTATGAATTCTGATCAAAACAATAAATTCTACTATCTGCTACTCCAAGTAGATTTAGCCTAATTGTAGTGATTAAGTTATTAAGTAGAGAGGTACTCATTTAGAAGTATGGTACCGCCGTTTTCGATGAATCATTCAAAAAGCTCGTTTAGAAGTGTGGTCCCGCCACTTGTACTTCAAGTGGATGAAAAAAAATGACGCGAATCAAAACAAAATGAAATTTTTTGTCTGATTTTAAATGGGAACATTAGTAGTTTTACGGGACCATACTTCAAACGAGGTTTTAAACGGGTTCATACTCGATCATACTTCTAAATGAGTACCAATAGAGACATTTGATTGTACTGATTACTGGATCACTATTGGCAATTTGGCTATTCAGACAAATTCGAATGAAGCAATCAAGGCTTTGCGCAATCTATTTGACTCTCTTGTTGGTTTTGTAGTATTGGAAACGCTACACTAATTTTATAGGCTATAGTTTTATAGCAAAACGTGAATTATTACTTTAATTTTTTGCATATTTTCTCAACACAATATTATATAAGATTTTTTTTTTTGACAAAAATTTTTTATGAGAATTTAACATTGTCAATTCAAACGTTTTCGCAAATTTTGTGCATCGTCAGGATTATGAAATTAAATTTAAAGAAAATGATCGACGATCATGAAAAAAAATCCGATCATAACTTAAATATCATATTAACAATCAAGTTGAACTACTGTTATTACGTAATCAATTACATGAATATTAAACAAGAGTTTCGTTAATTTCTGATAAGTTTTCTGAGTAAGATTAGAAATATCAGAAATTTAGGGAGAAGTAAAGAGTACGCAATTCTTACATAACAATGCTTAAATTTGATTGGTGGAAAGATTTTATTTTTTGTTTAGAACCACTTAAGGTCTTTTATGATGTTTTAACGCCTGTAATTCATTTCATATCAATTTTATTACCCTGACGATGGACATAGTTCCGAAAACGTTCACATTCACATTTCAAAAATTTTTCTTCTTATTTAGCTATGTTTATACATAGACTACAACGCTCCATACGGATTGACACCCATTAGACAGCATTAGCGGGAATACGGTATAACTGGTAGTAGGCCTGGGTTAAAGGCAGAAATTATAGATCAAACGGGCAACAGGCATACACTACTTACTCTAGAAAGATTGCACATAAAGCGGTAACGGCCCAAAATAACACGCGCATGGAATTTAAAACCAAAGAAATTACTCTTAAATTGTAGTCTATGAATAATAATACCTAAGAAATAAAAAATTTTAATTAAAATAAAATAAAAATAGACATTTCCGAAGAAAAAAAATTGTGTGAAATAGAAAGTTTAAAAAAAATTAAAAACGAGTTAGAAATTTGAGGAAACTGTTGCTTAATAATGATGTAGCTGATTACGTACTAACAGTTGTTCGAATTTGATTGGTGAATTTTGTTAATATGATATTTAATTTATGATTGCCATTTTTTCTTGATCGTTGATAATTTTCTTGAAATTTTACTTCATTATCCTGACGATGCACAAAATGTGCGAAAAAGTTGAAATGGCAAATTTAAGTTTTCAATAGGACAAGAATTACCTTTTAGCTAAACATTTGAATCGGATTTCAACGGAGCAAGTTACCCAATGACTTTTAGAGTCAAATTCAAATTTCTAATTTTTTAAATTCTAATTGGATTTTTTATGCTCTCAGTTTGAAAAACTTTAAAAGAGTAAACAATTTCTTATAAGGTAACGGTCGAACGAAGGAACTTAAAGATTGTCCAAGACGCCAGTCAGGCGGTGTTTGCCTATTGTTTTCTAGCTTTGACTTTGAGAACAGATGAATGCTCCAACGCTCTGAAGATGGAAAAACCTAAAGTATGTGAAAATTATTTGATTTTCCCCAGTTAAACTAAATAAAGCTTTTTTTTTAAATCAGAAATCAAGAAATTACAATCATCTGTTTCCTAATCAAAAGAAGAAAAAGAAACTAAAAAAGGAATGAAATCTATTAGTAGCTGCTTTGGTTTTATTTATTCTTCTTCTTAAAACAAAAATCCCTATTTAACAGAAACTAATTTTTTAAGAGTCACTCAGCACTTAGTTTTTAGGAAAATTGTATCGTGAAAAAAATTAAACAATTATAAGATTAATCAATCGCTATTGGGCCGCAAACAAGTTTCCAGCTGACAACCGAAAAGCTACCCCCTTTTTTCAATTCAAGCAGCGGGCACTCTTCTGCTACAATCATATCTCCGCTATGTTCCCGAAAATAATTGTCCTAATTAATGCGATAAATTTACGAGCAATAATTTCCGTAACCGTGGACTGAATTGATGAACATTTGTGTCTACTCTCAAAATATTTCTTAACTCTAGGACTGGATCGACTATGATCTATGATGTAATCAGACCAGAGAATTGTAATTTTGATTATTAACTAAAACAAAATGATATATCAACGATTGTTTCTTTCAGTAAAACTGGAGCAACCAGTGAGGCAACCAGTATATTGTTTAGAAAAATCGTTGCAAATTGTGCAGAGAATTACCCCCTAGACCATATAGTCTGAAAGTTCAAAGAATTCATTTTAATTACTGCAAATTATAAGGAATAGAGTTTCTGTTGGTCAGTTTCCAACTTCAAAACAAAGCAATGAGAAAAAGGTTTATCTCCAGGGCCGCAATCTTGTTGACCGCTCTATTGCCAGATAAAACCTTGATAGGGTCAAAAATTTCATAAACTTTCCTCACGCTCATCAGTCTATAGAGCTCTCTGCTAATTTTTTCACTTAAAAACTCAGCTCATTTTTTTTATATCTACAATATACCAAAAAAGACAGGTTCTCTGACCAAATTGGCTAGTATAAATCATTAGTTTAGACAATTTAACGATTTTTTCATCTAAAATAGCGTTACTAATATACAGTAAGTTAAATATTTATGTATTTATCCTCTCAACACATACCAAAAACGCTCAAAAATTGTATTAAATCCTTCAATTTATTCTCAAAAAGGTAACAGGAAGCCCTGTATGCACACCAAAGGTACTCTAACTGATTGATAAATTGATTTCAATCATCACATGCACAATCAAACGAGAGCTAATATGAGGTTCAATCTCAATTTCCATTGCAAAACCGTGCTTTATTATGATTTTCACCAAATCCGAAATTTCTCCTCTACCCTAATTTAATTTAATTAAACTCTAACCTGATTAGTAAATCAATCAGAGATGTAACTTTCGGCCCAAAATAGGGAAAGAACTATGCGCTCTCACTAGTGCAGGAACTATCAAATGTTTGTTTTTCCGACTAATTTTTTTTCGACGACCTACTTTGAGAGAAGTTCACTAAATTTATGTTAATTTTAGGTTAAATTACGGTAAAACTACAATAATATAAAAAAAATTGGTGAGAAATTTATCAATTTTTAGCCAAAAGAAGCCCAATTAACATAGATAAACCACAAGATAAAGCAAGAAACTGCTGAGTTGTGGTTAAAACCAGCAGAGTTAGGACAAGTTAACTCGCACTTCATCTAATATTCATCGCATGTATCGTCATTAAGGCCATTAAAAAAGTAAATAACCAATTCATCTTAATTTTTATACAATTTCATCCAAACTAAGTCTAATTAAGCTAGATAAACTTCCAAACTTTCTAATTTTGGCTCAAGTAATGTCAAAATAAGGCACATTGAGTTACGTAAACTCCAAAAAATCTGAACTTTCACCAAATCTAATAAAGAAAAAGTCTAGCTATATTAGATAAACTCCCCATTAATCTAAAATTTGCCCAATTTTGGTCAAAATGAAGCTTAATGTTATAAATAAATTTTAAATGTAAAGACAAAAAAATCAAATTTAGTTCAAAATAAGGCCAATTAACTGGGTTACACTCCCATTTAACCTGGAAGTCACCAAATACTGGTCAAAATTAGTCTAATTAAGCCAGATAATCTTTCAAACTATCTGAATTTTGCTCAATCAAAGTTAAAGTAAGTCCAATTAGGATAGTTAAATTCACATTTAAAATAAAACTCACCTATGTTTAAACATAAAAAAACCTGAATACCATAAATAAATTCCAATCTGTCTGAATTTTCCCAAATTGGGTCTGAATAAGGCCAATTAAGTTATTTGAAGTGCCAATGAATCTTAAAATATCCCAATTTTTGTCAAAGTAAGCCTAATTAAGGTAAAAAACTTCCAAATAAAAAATTATCAAAATTTGTTAAAAAAATAGCCAAATCACAACAATTAAAACTCCAGTTTAATTAAATTTTATCAAGGCTTGGTCCAAATGAAATCAAATTAGAGAAAAAAACTAAAAATAACCAGGAAACTGATCAAACTAAGCCCTTTTGTCATCTAAAAATGAAAAAAAAAATTTAAATAAAAACGCGTCAAACTAAAATCACTGAAAAGAGAATAATAGCTGA